GTACTATTGTGCAGCAACCAGTATAATGAAGATAGGCCATGCACAGTGTGGGGCTATTGGCGAAATTTGCTACGGCAGTGTGATTTCTGATTTGTGGTTGTACGGTAATTTGGATTCCACAGGGTGCAATCTGAGACACAATCACCCATTGGCTGACAAATATGTATGAATTGGCCATACATTGTAGAATTCTTAATTTAGAATATTGGCTGAGCGCAGCTATGAACCGGTCTGCCCAGACGTCGGTTTGAAAATGGCAGACCGATTTAAATGAATGTTTATGTTTTTGTTGCGCACAATTCTTCATGAAAATAGTGTTGGATTATTATAAATTTGTGTCGGATGTGGCAAGAAATGATTCCTTTTGGCGATCAAAGAAGAATCACAGTGAAAAATTAGACGGTAAGGATTCCAAAATAGCCTTAGAACTGAGATGGGGGAAAAGCCTTATTTTCATATTAGTTGTCTTTAGGACGCGCCAGTAACGAGAAAGCACTAGGGGTTACTAAAGTACATGTAACTATCTGTAGTTGTAGGGTGAAGACATGGGGATAGGAAAGAATCTGTGCAGACTTACCGGGCCCTCTAGAGTTAGGTCAGCTTCCCCCTCGTTACTTCGATCCGAAGTCATTGGGTCAGCTGGTCTCTTCTACGTTTCACTCAACCTAAAATAAAATAGAATTTAAATTTTAAATCATATGAAATGGGGTAAATGTCCTACTGTTCTGTACTGATGGACCTAATGCAGTGTGCTGTGGGGGAAATTTGACCCCGACAGAGGTTCAACGGTCTACTCTTATATCGAATTCCAACTGTCAAGGGTTCTTTTACATGTAAGCCAATGTGTATACAGGCCCTCAGGTTTTTATGCCCCACCCAAAAAACTATACATCGTCTCTTCCCACCCAGGCCTTCTATCCTGCACCTACATGTATGACAATAGGGATCCACATCTGAAAATCCGGATGAACTTTCTCGGCCACAGAGAGAGATGGGGTTTAATGTCCACTCAACACAAAAAAGGCCATTTCGGGACTAACATATGGTTCAATTTTATTTCAATAATCTGCTTGCGAATGGGTGTCTTCAGCAGTGGGATGAAACTGGAGGACCTGGAAAAAACCCACAAGGTTGAACAGGCGACTCTATTCCTTGTCACGTACAACCAGGTAATCGAAACCACACCAGTTGACTCAATGACTGACCTTATGATACAAAGTCCATTTCGGGACTAGCATATGGTTTAAATTTATTTCAATAATTTGTTTGTGCATAGGGATCTTTAGCTGTTGGAGAAAACCAAAGGACCCAGAGAAAACCCACGTACAAATGTACTTGTAGTTGAACACGACCCTACTCCTTGTCACATGTCAAGCCAGGAATAGAAACCACACCTCTTGACTCAATGACAGACTTCATCATCTAAAGTACACGCGTTAAACCACAATGTTTGTTTCACTAAACTTGTTCCAGTGGACTGTCCGATTTTATAAGTTTTATAGTTCCGAAATGACCTGGTTTGTGTTGAGTCGATGGTAAACCCATTCTCTCTTGTGCGTAGTGTACAGTTCTCGTCAATATATATTATATATATCATAGCTTTTCATATCATACATGTATTTTACAACAATACAAAAAACTGTAAATGGGGTTCAACGTCCTACTGGTCTGCACTGACTGGGCTAATGAAAACGGACATCCCTCTTTACATCATATAGAGCCATGTACATAATAATGATGGCTTATGTTACAGACTTCATATCAAATCAAACACTGTATTACATGTAAAACAAACGGGATGAATTCAGTTATTTATAATCCTACTTTCTGCTCCAACTGGGCTAATGAAGACAGTGGGCTATGAGGGAGGAAGTATGTGTGCGTTAATGTGCACATGGAACCTGGGTTATTCATCCCATACGAACGACTCGACAGCTTTCCTCGTCGGGCCCTCCCTCCCTCCGTCCTGAACCATTGACAAGAAGAAGCCATGCCGGAAAATCCTGGGGAACGTTCTTGTTCAACACTGGGGGCTAACCGGAGACCTCCAGGCTTGTAAGCCAGCTTTCTCCTCAATGAACCACTGTGGCTCCTATAATCATGAAATGAAATAAAATGGGACCTCCAGGCTTGTAAGCCAGCTTCCTCCTCAATGAACCACCGTGGCTTCTATAATCATGAAATGAAATAAAATGGGACCTCCAGGCTTGTAAGCCAGCTTCCTCCTCAATGAACCACCGTGGCTCCTATAATCATGGACATTCACCTTTTATACAAATTAATTTAAATAACACCAATGGCATTTTATCTACACTGAAGCTCATCCTGTAATCAAGGCTTGTAACAGCTGATCAGAACACACCATTACATTCAATCATCAGTTAATTAAACAATTTACATGTATATCAATGAACACACAGTGCTGAGGCTGATACCATTTTAAATATTATCGATCGATGCACGGAAAGCAAACATCAATACTCGCAAATTAAATTAAAATACCTTGACTTAAATTAAGTCTGTTAAAAGGATTATTTAGTGAACAAATTAATTCTAATGTAATTTTCTCTCTGCAGTATAAATGTCAAAGCAAGTATGAAAAACATTGCTGGAATTTTTTCAGTGGAGAAATCATATTTATAGGGGACTATTGGAACTGATAAGAGAATAAATAACAGATCGCTACCGAACTACAATAATTTAATTCTTCATAACTTTTCAATGCATTTGTTTTAATATCCACTCTATGTTGAACATACATTATGCAAGAGCTAAATCTGTCTATTTCAGGTCTTTCTTTAGGCCTGAAATGTTATCTAAATTATTAATTAGACATTAATTAACCTATCCAGGCCATAATCAACTCTAGATGGCAGCGCTAGCCTGCGATCTTTAGTGGATTGTAAGTCGTTTTACTGCATAACTTTCCTTCTCTATTAAACGATTAAATGGATAATCGAGACTATGCTGTTTATCGTACTGACTTTAGTAATGATGACCGAGGCTTATGGGAATTTCAGTCGCTTAGTTCTCGGTTCATAATGGTTCAATTTTTATTTCAATACTTCGATAACGCGTAGGGGTCTTTAGCAGTGGAAGGAAAGCGAAGGACCCGGAGAAAACCCACGAGGTTGAACAGGCGACCCAACTCCTTGTCACATATAACCGGGAAATTGAAACCACGCCAGTTGACTCAATGACAGACTTTATGATACTACGCGCACGGCTGCACGAGCTAACCATTCGGCCATCCAATCCCCCAACTGTCAATTGACATCCAAACTAATTACTCATGTCCAAAGGACTCGAGCTTACATGAAAGTTTAAATGTGTTCCCCTGTTCGATGTATAGCAAGTAGACCAGTAATCATGTTGCACCATTTATGAAATTTTAAATGCTTTATCCACTTTGATGCGTAGCAAGTGGGTTAGTTATCGTCCTACACCACTTACGATGGAAACCAGACTGATCGTCTCTGCTAACACATGATCCAACCAAGGACACCCCTGCATGGTTACTGGTTAGTTACCCATCCTCACAGTGGCTTACTTTTCAAAACAGAATTTAACTATATGGAATGCGAATGACTGTGGAGCAGCTGCGACTCCGTGAGTAAGACGCTGGACTCTCTGTCTGGCGTAGTATCCACCTTTCAGTGTTGCAGGACAGAGGACCTGACAAGGAAATAACTTCTTACTGACATCCGAAATAATGCATGGAAAAAAAACCATGACGATTGGAATTCAAAATAAGAATAAGCGATTAGCCTACCATTCCTCATTTTATTTTTGAACGATCCAGAGTTTTAGTAGTGCAAGCAGATAGGCTTATCCACAAAGGATTTATCAATATTCATAATTTGAAGTCACAAATAAATTTCTCAGCGGGAAGTTGTGAGAGGGTCTATACAATCAGATTTTTTTTCAAATCTTGTTTTGTACCGGTAAGCTTATGGCTTATTCCATATTTTTTATTTCCCGAATGCAGTGAATTTTAATTAGATTAAACTAATAATCTGTTCATGGTTACGCTTATTGACATATTGCTGAACATATCAAGTCCGAATAAAATACATTTTTATCTATAAGTATGATAGACAGTGAAGACGTCTGAATTGCTATAAATTGATCAATCCAACATTATGTTCCGTAGACGTACTTACGTAGTGCAAATTCCCAGCATAAAATACTGAACATTAATAGGAGAAATATAAAGCTCATATTATAGAAGAATTTGATAATTCAAAGATTAAACGTATACGAGTGAACGACTGTGCAGAAAATATGCAAGCTGCAAGTTGAGAAAGGGCATAATCAGATGATTCTTGGTTGGCAAGTTGAAAGTTTTCTCAGGTTGTGGGGGCCGCCATATTGTTTCATCAAACAAGCCATCTATGGCCGCGTTTCATTCGATTGATACTATATCTCACCGTAAAAAAATTCAAATTATTAGATCGTACAATGTTGTATCGAAGTGGTAGGAACCTTATAAACTGTGAATTAATCCAAAAATTCGCGAAGGAACTTGTGAAAACAACCAAATCTTCATGGAAATGATATGGGGGCGCCACTGCTCGACTACGCCTGCTGGTTGTCCTTACATGTTGAATGTGGTTTATAGATTATTTGCGCTTGTACGGACATGACAAGTACAAAATTAGATTCCTTAGGCATTAAAGAATCGAATGTCAATATATTCCAGTTCTAAATTACGTGTTTATAATCCAATTTAGTCCATTACACTTTACACGTGACTGCAGCAAAAATAACCGCAGAACATGGCGTCGACTATTTAGAATGAGCATGCTTTTTTTCCAAATTTCAGCTTACCTTCAATCGGTCGCTAATTGAGGCTTTCCTGGTATCCTCACTAACTACAGCTAACAAACCCAACCACTGCTAAACTAGAAAAACACGAAAATACATTTACTATCATCAAAAACAACGAAAATCTGCATGCAAGGGACAGCTCCGTATCGTAACCTTGTGAGTCGATCGACAGCCACCCTGGTCACATGGGGCGCTCACATCCAACATGGCAACCACTCAATGAATGCAAATAAACTGATTAAGTTATTTCTTAAAGGATATTGTCCTAGTTTAGGATAAAGGAAATGACAGGTAATGGTGTTAATTATTTAGATACTTTTTATTCGGTTTTAATTACATGTTTCGTTATTTCCGCCTTTCACGAGCCGCATTACAGCTAACGGAGTAATACATAATAATGGCGCGAGTGATGCGGTCTTGGGATATGGAGACGCGGAACTTCATTATTTGTAATGATTAAAGCGACCAGTATTCTGTAATAATCCTGCTAATTATGCATGTATCAGGCGGAGAAAACGTATTTATTCTATTTCATCGGCTTCTGCTCGACGACTTTCTTCTTGCAATGGTTGTTAACCGAATAGTTTTATCTGAGGCGAGGAGCCAATTGGAATTTTTCCGTGAAATGTCGTTTACCGTCGTGAGCTTTGCCCTTTTATGGAAACGCGATTTATTGAAAACGACTCACACTGGATTTAAACTGTGTTGTTTCTAGCCATCAAAATTTTTAATTAAATGAGTTTAGCACCAATCAAAGTATAAATAACAAGGTGTTAATTAGAATGTCGATTTGAACTGCATGAATTGAGTCATTTGACCCGCCGATCAGACGAAATGACCTACTTGAAACTTCTCGCGAGGCACAGGAACGGCTAACACGCGGATACACAGTCACTATGGATAGTAGTGTATGGGCCAAGCACACCGCAATAACTACTGTCAGTAGGCTATTCTTGTATTGTAGATAGTGAACGCCAACGGTTGCCCTGCAAAACAATATATTCTCGAATTAAAAACATATAGGGTTCATGAAGTTTTTACCTGAGATATATACAATTATTAAAGCAATATTAATATTGTCAATCGATAATATAGCAAGTCAACGTGCCGGCTTGATAAACTATCACAAATTACCACGTGGAGTATTTTAACACTGTTCATTTTGAACACGTGGTTTGATATGTACACGTTTATATAAAAAAAAAAAATTTTTTTAAACATTCCACGTCACGTCATAATACAGTTATTGCAATATAATTTCAGCGAGATTGTGGATAGGTTTATTAATTCTATTTATTGATTTCATAGGAATGTGTTTCTGTGTAAAATGTAAATCCTGTTAATGTTATCGCTCGATCCTGTTCGGCTCATAACAGTCGGAATAACATGTTTGTGTTTGGTTTCTAATCCAGTTTTAATTGATGTTTGTCATCAGTGTCAATCATAGCCAGTGTGATATTTCATAACAAGGTAATGACGGAAATTAATCTAATATCAGTATAAATTTTAAGTTTTTCGAATTAGGCTACATAGGCGACTATTGTAACTATAAATAGAGAGAGGGGGAGGGAGAGAGGGTTTAACGTACACCGGACACAGACTAGGTCATTTCGGGACCAACACATGGTTCAATTTTATTTCAATAATTCGCTTACACATAGGTTGGACAGGCTACTACTTTACTCCTTGTACAACCGGGGAATCAAAACCACGCCAGTTGACTCAATGACAGACCTTATAATACAACGCGCGCACGTGAAATAAACAGACACAACACGATGTATTGAAATATGAAAAAAAAAAATCTAAAAAAAAAGAAATATATACATGAAATGTGTTAAATAGAATATATGTAGGCGTAGATAAATTAGTCTACAACCTTTGGCAACAAAATATCATCGGTGAAAGAGCGAGACATTTCGGACTTAAATACCAATGTGCACCAACAATTATTATGAAACTTATTGTCTTGCTGAGAGTATTATGAAATAGTAAGTGCAGGGGGACCGCACCACACTCAATTACTCAAGATAAACCCACGGACAGGAAACAATATACAGACACCACAAACAACAAACGGATCAGATCAAGTGAGTGGGTCCGGAAGATAACCGTATCTAGGCGACCACTGCGATGAACTGTCCCGGGCCTGTCCTGATACAGATTTCACTCAAAATGAAAAACAGATTAATAAAAGGGAAGCAATTCAAGAACAGGGAAATATGTCCCAAAATACCAGCGAGTCATGATCGGCTACAGTGCTACAAGAAATCTCAATGTAGGCACATTGAAGGAAAAAACCTTTATAAATAACCATTTTCCTGAAATGTAGTAAAACACCAAGTAAAATTAAATGGCTTATGCAGTACACAAAAATAGGGATCAAAACATTATAAGCGTTTGAAAAAATTCAAGTGTATTAATTACAAAGTTACACATTGTGAGTTTTATATAATGGATGCTGAACAATATACAATGTTGAAATCTGAGCCCAGTCATATATTCTAACACACAAAAGGAACCAGCGTGAAAATACACAGAAATGTGTTCGAAAATGCAGTGGGGGTTAACGCCCTACTTTTTTGCACCGACCAGACTGAAAACGGGCATAGATAAATGAAATGAAATGAAATAAAATGGGGTTTAACGTCCTACTGTTCTGCTCCGACTGGACTAATGAAAACGCGCATACGTCATACAGTATGAGGGAAATTTTGTCAGCGGCGCTACGGCCTATACTCTTATTTCGAATTCCAACTGTCAAGGGATCTTTTACGTGTACACTGGAAAATACAGGGGAACTTTCTCATCCAACACCGGGATCGAAACCCAGACCCCCCTCTCAGTTAGTGAACCAGCGCCTTACTGAGCCACTGTGGCCCCCTCCCCCACATGTGTTCACAGCTTTTATCAGTAGTATTGTAACGTATAACTTCTATACACAAATTTTGAATAAAACCTCATAATATGAAAGGTCTAAAGGGTCCACAATGTTGCTTTTGGAATTTAGATCTATAAATAAACAGATGTCGGAGGGGAAAATATGATGGAATCGTTAGTATACGTGACATGGTGATTATTGTGGGGTGGGTCTATAAGTAATGTATGAGGTCGGTGTCTTTATTAACTCACAGTTGACATCAAAACTTTTTAGCAAAAAGCACCCGACTAAAGAGGAAGGAAGACATCTTTCATTTTCAGCCATAGCTCTTCCTACAGATGTTTCCCTTTGTCATTGTCTAGTGGTTCGAATGGGGCGACAAATACATGTAGAGGTCCCGTATAGACCGGAAATGAGAGAGAAATGGGGTTTAACGTCCACTCGACACCAACTAGGTCATTTCGGGACTAACATGTGGTTTAATTTAATTCAATAATTCGCTTGCGCGTAGTTTTCTTAAGCAGTGGGAGGAAACCGGAGGACCCGGAGAAAACCCACGAGGTTGGACAGGCGACCCTACTCCTTGTCACGTACAGCCGGGATTCGAAACCACGCCAGTTGACTCAATGACAGACTTTATGATACAACGCGCACCATTCAGCCATGGGATCCCCCCCCCCTTAGTGAAATCAAACATGTAATACCTCTGACAACAATCTGAATCGAAATAGTGACCTGGCTGTTTCGAGGGATTTTTGTTGAGGGGTCATTCATCATCGGACCAGCAGATAAGAGCAAAATATCGATTGCACGTAGTTCATAATCAAATTCTGCACCGGTCAAAACAGTGAATCAGCTGATGGTAAAAGCCTGCAGTCACAGCCGCGAGATTAAAATCACAAATTAACCAGTAAAATCTCGAAAAATAACGGCAAGTAGCGCGTAGTGGAGCGAATTTTCTGGAATTGCAGTTTGAGTTTGAGACATCCTGAATCAAATTCAGAATTTTTTGAAACTCTGAACCCAGGTTGGGAATTACATCATCCCAATAATGGTCAGTAAAATTCCCGATTTCGGGATGGAAATAATTTTCATATTTTTCATTTAATATCGCCCGAAAAAATTGTTTTTCCCGACTCCGTCCGGGTGGCTGCAGCTGGGAATCTTTATCCCTTACACATATAATTGTTAATAAACTATTATTATTATTATTATACAGTGTTTGCAGCTGGGAATCGATCTTTATCCCTTGCACATATAATTGTTAATAAACTATTATTATATTATTATAAAGTGTTTAAATCACATAAAGGTCACCACGGTGGTTCAGTGAGTAAGACCTTGGCTCGCTATACTGGATGTTTCGATTCCCCGGTTGTACGTGACAAGGAGTAGGGCCGCCTGTCCAACCTCATGGATTTTCTCAGGAAGCTCCGGTTTCCCCTCACTGCTAAATAGACCCCTACGCGCAAGTGAATTATTGAAATAAAATTGACCCATGTGTTAGTCCCGAAATGACCTAGTTTGTGTCGAGTGGATGTGAAACCCTCTCTCTCACTCTCTCTTTCTCTCTCTCTCTCTCTCTCTGGGGGGTTGGATGGCTGAATGGTTAGCACGTGCGCGCTGTATCATAAAGTCTGTCATTGAATCAACTGGCGTGGTTTCGATTCCCCGGTTGTGCGTGACAAGGAGTAGGGTCGCCTGTCCAACCTCGTGGGTTTTCTCCGGGTTCTCCGGTTTCCTTCCACTGCTAAATACCCCTAGGCGCAAGCGAATTATGGAAATAAAATTGAACCATATGTTAGTCCCGAAATGACCTAGTTTGTGTCGAGTAGACGTTAAACCCCATTTCTCTCTCTCTCTCTCTCTCTCTCTCTCTCTCTCTGGAGTCACGGTGGCTAGGCGGTTAAGACGCTGGCTCGCTAGCCTGGAGGTTGGGTGTTCGATCCCAGCATTGGCCGAGAAAGTTCATCCAGATTTCCCCTTGTCAGTGGTGCAGAACGGATGGCCTGACAATGACAGTTGTTTAGTCCTTCGGAAGAGACGAAAAACCGAGGGCCCGTGTATATATTGGACTGCACGTAAAAGATCCCCTGGCAGTTGGAATTCAATATAAGAGTAGGCGATAGTGCCGCTGCCCGGGCAAAATTTCCCTCATAGAACACTGTATGGCGTATGCTCGTCTTCATTAGCCCAGTATTGGAGCAGAACAGTAGGACGTTAAACCCCATTTCATTTCATTTCATCCCTCCCAATCTCTCTCTCTCTCGCTAACCTGGATTTTCCGGGTATAAATAACACGAGGCACGTGTTGTTGTCAGCTGACCTATATATTAAAGAGTAGATAGGATTATATTATATAATAATCAGTTTCATTATTCATAACATATACATATAACATTACTCTCCATTGGTTGACACGGACATACGTCACAGTTGCTAGACAGGAGATAAACATCAATAAACATAACACAGGGTATTATAATACATTTTATATATTGGATCTTATTGTAAAACATTTCCGATATTCTCATTTCATAATGTCACATTCATTATTCGCTCTATCTATTAGGAACACGTATATCATATGTATATTATTTGTACATAGATCTATATAATGTGTAGGAATTTGTATAGTTCAGAATAAATACAACTGCAAGTTAAAAACAAATATATCTTTAAGTTAGAAAGAAAAGTTTCCTGGAAAGTAGACTTTCCCCAAATTGTTTTTAACAGCCTCTGTAAGATTTCAGTTACACCCGAAAATTCTGGACCTTACAACAGCTTCACATTGTGTAACAAATGTGTAAATTGATATTCTTTCATTAGGGTAATTTAATAAATTTAAATACAGCTATTGGTTTAAAAAAGAAAAAGTACAATAGTCTTCAGATATTTCTGTTTAGATTAATTATTTTTCTCGCCCCGCCCCCACCCCACTGACAGAGTGTTTAGTTTTTAACCATGACATGTTCCCTTGAAAACCAAGAACAGCGTTGGCGCCATCGGTCAGTGATCAACAGGGGGAGATCCAGACGGGGTGGGGGGGGACCCCCTGTTCAGCTACAGAATTTTTTTTTGGGGTAAAACAAAACTTTTTATGAGAAAAGTGTCACGGTCATGTGCTTTATTCTTTATCATCAAATGGTGGAATGGGATGGGCATTCAAAGCGCGAGATAATGATATAGACATATGTGATATCACAATTAATGATTTGCATCAATGAAATTGAATCACAATGTGATCCTATTAATTCATATTAAAAAATGACGTCAAACGGGGTGTTGGATTTATCTCTTTAAAAAACTCATTGTATACACGTACAAAAAGACGAAAGAGACCATGTATTTCTCAAAAGATTTCAAGCGGGTGGGGGAGAGACCCCCCCCCTCCCAAGATACAAAGCCCCTCCTGCAAAAATTCCTGGATCCGCCCCTGATCAATCACTATTAAACGCGTTCTTCATACTGTTTAATTCAGAAAAGCCTATATTAATAAATTATGTTTTTCAAGTTTATTATTAAAAGATGCATTTCGGTTATGAAATATAATCCCTTGGTTGGTTTTCGGTGCGAGATACAACGTAAAATTACAATGACGTCAAAAAGCACCTGTAATGACGTCACAATCACTGGGACGAACTACTTTTTTATGTTTTAGAACTTCAATTGAAATTCAAATCAGACTCGGAGACTTTTTTTTATCGATATTTGGCCATGGTGGGTTTCATAATAAAAACTTTTGCTTCATAAATTTCTTTTCAACTAATTTCAACATTTTTATTTGTTTAAACAAATTTTATGGATGCCAAAATACGTTTATTCGCGTACGCATAGGCCTATAATTTTTAAATTTGAAAGTCCAGTTGAGTCTGCGTTTGAATCTCACACAATCGTATTTATTGATGTAAGGGAGAGAATCCGTTTTTTTAAATAAAGGGAACAAACTCCTTTTTATGACAGAAATATTACCTGGACACAGATCACGAAATATTCCTACGCAAAGGCCAAAGCTATTTTTAGTCTTCCTCTCCCTTTTCCCTTTTCCCCCTTTTGCATGGCGATTTTTGTTGACTTTTTGGTGTAGAATCGAGGAAAAGGGTTTGAAAATACATTTCTGCCAGATTTTGGTGAATATTCATAATTTTGATGCAGAAGGATACAAGAGTTGAGAGGTTGGTTACGTTGAAATGTAGGGCCTGAAATTGCATGTTTACTTGTCTCTACTTCCAGCTTGTGTATCTCAAGTTTTTCATGAAGAACCTCATACGTGCTTTTGGGCAAGTGGTTGCCGCATGTTGCTCCATCTGTGGTAGAAAGCGTTCTACCCAACGAAAATTTGGGAAAAAGTTAGAGCCGGTCTAAGATACGAGAATTAACATTGGAGTCAATGGGGAAATCTTTAGTGATCTGTGTCCACCTAGTCGTGTTGGTGAAAATATATGAAGTTTAAGTCTGGAAGTTTAAGTCTTGGGGTTAACGAACTCAGATGATAACAGAAATGGTGAACAGTAAGAGAAACTTTTCAATTAATTGTGGGTGTTAATTAGCTTAATTAGCCAATTAACAGTATGTTGTTGATCACAGACCAATTCACTCTATGACCTGTATTCCGGTTAATTTTCCACGACGTACAAGATATGTCATTATATATCCCGGTCGGAGCAGTTTAACAAACCATATTTCATTTCATTTCATTTCAGAAAGTCAAAAGTAGCTTTATTTTGTTAATCGCATCTCGAGATTTTTATTCAGGTACTGAGTGTGCGTGTGTGTGTGTGTGTGTGAGGGGGGGGGGGGCACGTTCAGCAGGCCAGTAGCTAGCGGGGGTGGGGGGAGTAGCCACCCCCTCTTGGCACCCCCGCTAGCTACGGTCCTGACCTTGAGCTGATGTGCTTGTCTTTTAACTACAACTGGGGCTTGTTACTTTCTGTACCTTGCAAACTCCTTTTGTTTATTATTTAATTAATGCCTGTATATATTAAACATCTTTAAAATAAGATATTTTAGCTTACTGTTATGAATAATTAAACATTATAGACCTACCCATTGTAGCGTCAGCAACCCTACATTCACGGCAAATATTATCAGTTAAGTGGATCAAGCAATGTTTTTATACGCCCACATTTAAATGTGGTCGTATATTGTCGTCGCCCCCGTCCGTCGGTCCGACGTCCACAATTACTTGTGGACGCTCTAGAGGCTAAAGTTAATATCCAATTGACTTTAAATTTATACACAGTGTTTAAGGCCATGAGACGAAGAAGCCTATTAATATTCAGCGATTTCTGATAATTACTGCCAGAGTTATGGCCCTTGATCACTTCAAAATATCTTGTGGACGCTCTAGAGGCCAAAGTTAATATCCGATTGACTTTAAATTTATACACTGTGTTTAAGGTCATGAGATGAAAAAGATTATTGATTTTCAGCGATTTCCAATAATTACTGCCAGAGTTATGGCCCTTGATCACTTCAAAAAATCTTGTGAATGCTCTAGAGGCGAAAGTTAATATCCGATTGACTTTAAATTTATACACAGTGTTTAAGGTCATGAGACGAAGAAGCCTATTGATTTTCAGCGATTTCTGATAATTACTGCCAGAGTTATGGCCCTTGATCACTTCAAAATATCTTGTGGACGCTCTAGAGGCCAAAGTTAATATCCGATTGACTTTAAATTTATACATTGTGTTTAAGGTCATGAGACGAAGAAGCCTATTGATTTTCAGCGATTTCTGATAATTACTGCCTTGATCACTTCAAAAAATCTTATGGACGCTCTAGAGGTCAAAGTCAATATCCGATTGAGTTTAAATTTATACACAGTGTTTAAGGTCATGAGACGAAGAAGTTTATTCATTTTCAGCCATTTTCAATAATTACTGCCAGAGTTATGGCCCTTGATCACTTCAAAAAATCTTGTAAATGCTCTAGAGGCTATAGTTAATATCCGATTGACTTTAAATTTATACACAGTGTTAAAAGTCATGAGACGAGGAAGCCTATTATGGCCCTTGATCACTTTGAAAAATCTTGTGGACGCTCTAGAGGCCAAAGTTAATATCCGATTGAGTTTAAAATTTATACACAGTGTTTAAGGTCATGAGACGAAGAAGTTTATTCATTTACAGCGATTTTCGATAATTACTGCCAGAGTTATGGCCCTTGATCACTTCAAAAAATCTTGTAAATGCTCTAGAGGCTAAAGTTAATATCCGATTGACTTTAAATTGATACAGAGTGTTTGAGGTCAAGAGACGAAGAATCGTATTGATTTTCAACCTATCTTTACTTACTTTACAGTAGTAGCATGTAGTTATAGTAGTAGTACTAGTAGTAGTTATATTATATATTGTGGGGGGTTGGATGGACGAATGGTTAGCATGTGCATGTTGTATCATAAGGTCTGTCATTGAGTCAACTGGCATGGGTTTGATTCCCCAGTTGTATGTGACGTAGGGTCGCCTGTCCAACCTCTTGGGTTTTCTCCAGGTCCTCTGGTTTCCTCCCACTGCTAAAGACCCTTGTGCGCAAGCAATTTATTGAAATAAAATTGAACCATATGTTAGTCCCGAAATGGCCTAGTTTGTGTGGAGTTGACATTAAACCCCATCTCTCTCTCTCTCTCTCTCTCTCTCTCTCTCTCTCTCTCTCTCTCTCTCTCTCTCTCTTAAATTGAATGGGCCTAATATCATATTTCTTTTCTTTTCTTCAGATATGCTTGATGTCAGTGAAACTTGATGTTAGTGAAACTTGATGGAAGAGAACGTTGATGTTAACGAAACCAGTGAATATTTGATGCCATGTGTTCAATACAGAGTTTAACTATGGGTGTATGCAGACCTAGATTATCATGTTTAAAGATAATCTCATATGATGTTAATCCCGTATATTTAACAACAATGCAATGTTACGCTTTCAGCAGAAATAGAAAGCACCATTCAGATTGTAAGAGTTTCAAGGGCATTATAAGAAAGGATAACTCTACATGCAAACTAAATAATAACAAATCTGTCATCAAAATTCAGGGAATTTCCCATCGTGAATTAAGACGTTCAAGTAATTGGCCTTATACCTTTCAAAGACATTCTTGCGAACATGACAGTCGTTATTTGATTAACCAGCGACACTTTCATACTTGTGTTAGACTTTTGTCCCGTCCATTGACGGATCCTGAGAATAGAGGTCAGAGTCAAGATGGTGTGAACTTTGACACGTTGGGGTCATGGAATAATCGTATTGACATGCCTATACTCATGGAGGAAAGTATTAAGAAAGGTGAGTATGAATTTATTAAGTCAGGTATAAAAATGAAATGGGGTTTAAAGTCCTACTGTTCTGCTTCGACTGGGCTAATGAAGACGTGTATACATATACGTCATACAGTGCCAAGGTTTTTTTTTATAGCACACCAATGTGTACACAGGAGTCAAAAGGTCGCATAATGGGGCATATTTTATCAAATTCGCCTTTTCATCTAGTTCTCATATTTCGATGCGTGTGAAAAGGGGTTTATCGATATTGTTTTAAAATGTTGAATATGGAGTATTCCAAAAAATATAGATATTGAGAACGAAAATGTTGTATTTCCTTGAAAAAAATCAACTTTGTGTCTTACCAAAGCATTACAATCGAACGAAATATAGTCCGTATTGTTTTATGGTTAGTTACGTATTATTGAAATTATTGTTGAGCCCCCGTCCTCCACGGTTCGAAAGCAAATAAACGTGAATCTTTCCCCCCGAGATACGTCCTTGCTTTTTAAAATTGCCAATAACTAGCTTTCCCTCCTTATTTAACCTGATATGTATGGATAATAATAATAATAATGTAAATTTGTAGAGCGCCAAATCCATCCTAAAGCATGCTCAAAGCGCAATGAGACAATATTTATATACACAGTGAATAGAAAGTCTAATTCTCATAGCATTCTCGAAATAAGTGAGTCTTCAGCTGTAATTTGAAAGTAGTCAAAGTTTCACTGTTTCGGATTTTCAGCGGCTAGCTACTTAATGATTTAACGACTACAAGTACATTTTTTACAGACATGAGTAGGCCATAGTGCCGCTGCCCGGGCAAAATTTCCCTCATAGCACACTGTATGGTGTATGCCTGTCTTTATTAGCCCAGTATAGGAGCAGAACAGTTGAATGTTAAACCCCATTTCATTTCATTTCAGAATTTTAAAATTTTGTTTTTTAATTTTCTAATTGTCTCCCCCCACCACAGGTAAACTGATCCCACGTGTGGCTTTCCATGACATTAGCAGCTCCTCCTTGATTGGTCGAAGAAAAACCAACGAAGATCGTTTTGTTACCAAAGAATTAATACCTGGTCTCCATTATTTCGCAATATTTGATGGTCATGGTGGGCCGTTTGCCGTCGATTATATCTCAAGTCATTTAGAAGATCATCTACGGTACTGGACAACAAAGACTACCTCATTAGCAGACGTCATAGAGAAGTCATTTTTAAATATAAATAATATGTTGTGTCGTCATGTCAACCATTACTATATAGGTAGGTAATTTACTAATTATAGGTGTGTATGTGGCTCAGTGGGTAAGGCGCTAGCTCGCTGACTAGGAGGTCTCAGATTCGTTCTCGGTATTGATCGAGTAACTTCCTCGTGATTTCCCAGCGGTGGTTTCCAACTTGTCAGTGAAACAGGATGGAGGCCTGACAAGGACAGTGTCTAGTCGTTCGGATGACACATGTTTACACATTGGCATACATGTAAAAAATCCCATGAATGTTGGAATTTTAAATAAGAGTATGACGTAAGCTTGTCGTCATTAGCCCAGTTAGTGTAGAAAAGTAGGACGTTAAACCCGTTAGACCGGAGGCTTACCGAGGGGGGTGTCCATCAAATGGCCACAAAATCAGACCCATCTTTTCTATAGTAAAATTTATGCATAGAATAAGTTGCTGAGTGGTGATCAGTCCGCCGTTGGGGCATTTTCGAGATATTTAGGGTCAAAGGTCAAATGAGGTCATTTGTACTGAAAGTAAATGTGCAGTCATTCTTGTATCATGAAAATATGCTGAATATGATCAAAAGTAATCACTCTTTCAATAAAAATGTAAACTTACTAAATTCACCTTTGTTCTTTGTGACCGCGGGGGTCAAAAGGTGAAATTTTCCGTTTTTGCACTAGGAAGATTTAAACCAATAAAATGTCAGTGTAAAATATAAAAACTAAAGTGAAACCTGTTCTAATTAATAATAGGAACATTTAAAATTTATCTTTAGTGTGGTCTTAGCACTGTAAATAAATATCTCCATATATCTCGACAATTACGCCACAATATTTATATATATGCCAAGCCTCAAATCAGTTTCACACAATTATAGTCACTAAATAAACGATCATGTTGTACTTAATAAGCTATGACCATTAATCATGTATAAATAATAGACTGAAAACTGGTTCCAAGAGTCGTCCATAACATCCAGACACTTTTGAGTAAAAGATAGGTTACGTGCCCTTGTTTTGAAATTAGTCTCGCATAACCAGTCTATCAACCATTCTACGTCTGATTGACAGGTCGGGATAATCAAGACTACTTTTTTACGAAACATATCAGAAAGCTAGAACAAGAAATTGAATTTAGAAATAAGCACGTTAGGTAGCTCAACAATCGTTTTAAGAAGCTTGTAAAAGTAAAATGAAACTACTGCTAGTATCACGTTCCTGTCTAACCCGAGTGATTCAGAGATATTATTTGTACTAAACCAAAAAATGCCGCTCTTAACGGTACAGTTAATGATAAAGGGATTTAAAAAATGAAACGAACGTAATTTCTAAATCTGCTGTAATAACCAAGAAGCTTAATTTTACTGCTATTCAAAATCGTCAACAATAAATTTTTTACGGCTGTAATAGTTGATAGATTTGTAGAGAATTGCACGTGCCATGGCTATTTATAGTATCATACTGTCAGAAAGTTGGTCTCGGCACGGCGAATGTGCACGCTTCAGTGGTAGTCTCGAACTATCAGCGGTGGACTGTATTTCTGTGAGTACATGGGTCACCCTAATAACAGAACCAGAACACTTCGAAACCGGTTTCAAAAGTGCGTAAATTTGCAAAAATATTTTTGGGACTTTTCCTTTAACGCGATTGAAAGAAATATTGGTTTATATATTTTTAGATACAGACACATATAGTACTGGTACAACAGCTACCGTCTGCTTGTTACGAAACAGTATAGAATTAGTAGTAGGACATGTCGGAGATAGTCGTGCAATATTGTGTCGAAATGGGGAAGCCATTCGTTTAACGAAGGAAGACACACCCGAAGATCCGGTGGAAGCCGAGCGAATTAAACAAAATGATGGACAGATTGTATATAATAGTCTAGGACTACCTCAAGTAAATGGACGGTTGGCGATGACTCGTAGTCTTGGTGACGTGGACTTGAAGAAATATGGTGTTTCGGCAACCCCACATATTAGATCTATAGAGGTGAGTTGTCATAATGTGTATTAGTTTGGATGGGACAAAAAAATGAGGTTCCATGTACACATTGCGTGTGCGTAAAAGATCCCTTGGTAGTTGGAATTTGATGTAAGAGTAAGCCGTAGTTCTGCTGTCTGGGCAAAATTTCCCTCATAGCACACTGTATGGCGTATGCCCGTCTTCATTAGCCCAGTCAGAGCAGAACAGTAGGCTGTTAAACCCCATTTCATTTCATTTTATTTGGTTTTAATGTCTTATATCCAAGGCTCTTACAGAACTTGTTGCATCATTTCTATAAATTGAATTGTTTTACACATACTAACATTTAGATATCTTGTAAACACTAGAATACAGTGATATAAATATTCCCATTGTTTTCATGGATTGTCTCCCTTGTCAGTCTGCTTTCATTTAGATTAAAACCTGTATCACCGCTAAGCTTATGGTCAGCCCTTGGATCCAGTTATCTAATTTGATAATATTTTTGTTGCTTCTTGATGGCAAGGCCTTCAAGGCCCATGTTGTCCGTGGGTTTATCTTGTCAGCTTTTTCTTGGTTTCTTGATGTCTTATTTAAGATTTTACCAGCTGACCAGTATAATGGATTGTGTAGTTGGAACTACACTATAGAATAATGCAAATTTTTATTAGAAATAATTAATTTCAGAAAATGCTTAAATCATTAACAAATTGGTGTGCCTTTACTCTGATTAACTACAATTTTATTGTATTTATGGTGTTGCCACGTGTATCCATAGTGTTGCCATGTGTATCCATGGTGTTGCCATGTGTATCCATGTTGCCACGTGTATCCATAGTGTTGCCATGTGTAATTTTATTGCCATCTTTAACATGAAATCAACTTGAAATTATTGGGTAATTTAGATTCTGGTAGCTATAATTTCTGATTGATCGATTTCGGTAGGTTTTGGACATAAATTGTTTTTTTGGTGTTGAGAGGTAGGATGGCCGAATGGTTAGCGTGTGCATGCTGTATCATAAGTTTTGTCATTGAGTCAACTGGCGTAGTTTCGATTCCCCGGTTGTACGTGACAAGGAGTAGGGTCACCTGTCCAAACTCGTGGGTTTTCTCCGGGTCCTCCAATTTGCTCCAACTGCTAAAGACCCCCACCCCCGTATGCGCAAGCGAATTATTGAAATAAAATTGAACCATATTTTAGTCCTGAAATGACCTAGTTTGTGTCAGGTGGACGTTAAACCCGTCTCACAGCCTGTAGTTGCCTTTTAATCTGCTATATTGTGTCTTAAATTTAAAATTGTTAAAATATTTGCAGGTAAAACATGGCAGGGATGCGTTTCTGGTGCTGGATACAGATGGTGTGAATTTTGTATTGAGTGATAAGGAAACTGTTTGTATCGTTAGCAGTTGTCCATCACCTAAAGAAGCAGCAAGTAGTCTGGTTGATCAAGCCTTACACTTCGGTTCCGAAGACAATACTACATCTGTCATCATTCCATTTGGTGCTTGGGGTAAATATCGCGACGCTGATCGTTCTATGCCGTACAGTTTTGGACGAAATTTATTTGGTAACAGATACAAGTACGGCTGATAGTAATTTAATTCACTAACTAAACCTTGCCAGTAGATTTTGTGGAGGCTTGCTTGACTTTTGCAACAAAGCTTGCCTGTTGATATGGGTGCCATGTTTAATGTAATGAGGTTATTTTAAGAACTGAAATGTTATATAAACTATTAATTAGACATTAATTAACATGAAAAGATCTTAATCAACTCTCGTTGCCATCTTATGTTTCCGATTTTCACTGGATTTGAATCCGATCTGCTGTTCAACGTCTGGTGATGATTAAACGCCAAAATGTATAATCGAGACTTTGTTAATTATCGTGACAGCAGTAACAATGACAATCATGGCTACAATGATTTTAAAAGAAGTTTTCTTGGCTTAGAGTGAAGCAATTTGACTGAAATTTTCAGCATATTCCCTTTACATCATCTAGCTTTTAACTATTATAGTGAGAACTGCCAAATCTTTATCTAATCTTCCATTATGTAGCTTTAATAAAGGGAAATAGTTAGTATAGTGAGAGCTGCTAACTCTTTATCCAATCTTCCAGGGGTGTTGGATGGCCAAATGGTTAGCACGCGCGCTGTATCATACAGTCTGTCATTGAGTCAACTGGCGTGGTTTCGAATCCCCAGTTGTACGTGACAAGGAGTAGGGTCGCCTGTCCAACCTCATGGGTTTTCTCCGGGTCCTCAGATTTCTTCCCACTGCTAAAGACCCCAAGCGAATTATTGAAATAAAATTAAACCATATGTTAGTCCCGAAATGACCTAGTTTGTGTTGAGTGGACGTTAAACCCCATTTCTCTCTCTCTCTTGTCCAATCTTCCATAATGTAGCTTTAATAAAGGGAAATAACTCCTTTTAACAGGATTGAGACTACTATTTCTTAATGATATATTAGACTGGTTCTATATTAAAGACAGGACACAGCCTCAGGACAAAACCAAACCTGATTCTATAGAAACTTATATAAAATTCAACATCCCATTTTCAGAAATGTTTGTTATACAATTGACATGTTTTTATACGCCCACATTTTCATGTGGATGTATATTGTCGTCGCCCCTGTCCGTCCACAATTTGTTTGTGGACACTCTACAGGTCACAATTCTTATCCGATTTTGACGAAACTTGAAATATAGGTTTATCTTCAAAAGATCTTGGCTGCTTTCGATATTGGCATGTATCGGATCGAAACTTCATGGATTATGGCCCCTGTTTGTACAAAAAATCACGTTTTTAGCTTGTGGACACTATAGAGGTCACAATTTTTATCCGATTTTGTTGAAACTTGATATGTAAGTTGATAACCCAAAGATCTCGGTTCCTTTCGATATTCGCGCATATCGGAACCTAACTTCCTGAATTATGGCCCCTGATTGTACTAAAAATAACGTTTTTAGCTTGTGGACCCTATAGAGGTCATAATTTTTATCCAATTTAAAAAAACATATTATTATATCACCGTTACACCCTAAGGACGGCTGAGTTCGAATTTCGTGAAAATCGGCCCAAAATTGACAGACAAAATGGCCGCTGTTCGTTCTCAAATATGTAAAAATATGGTATATCAAGGTTGTGGACCCTATAGAGGTCACAATTTTCTGGCAGCCACTGGTTTTTTTAAATGTCAGTTTGCACACAAGATATTTTACTAGGACAGTGGCTTTCTACTTTAGTTTCAATAATATCACAGTCCTTATGCTCAGAACACATAGCAGTTGCTCAATTATCAAGTCTGCAGCATTCCTAATTGATGGAATTGAGTCCTGTAAAAGTTCTGCTAGTCCTACAGTCTGACCTGTTAATAGCAGAATGATGGCATTATCAAATGTTTTGCGATATTTAGTTTCTGCATACCTCAACGCCTAAAGTTGTCATGGTTACTGGATTGACACTTTCAATCTAGGAACTGGGAGAATTCAGTCCCACCATGGTCAACCAAGTAGCCCATATGGTTTTTTATCCCATTGAAAGGAAGTGAAAACACTGCAGGAATAAATACCCCTTTCCTTTGGTAAAGCACAGGAATCTGACCTTCTATCCGTATATATATGCATACACCATGTCCAACCAGACAATATACAATAAAAAAAGAACAGGAATGCAATGCCTGTTGAAAACTCAATTTTACCTGCTCTCGCTTCGGCTCGTTTTTTTTCAACAATTCGTAATGTCAGGCAACCAAACCTCTGTCGATTCACTCAGATATGTTTTTTCTTCAATCTAGTCGTTTTCATTTGCATAAATACTCCCACAAAACGATATCATAGCCACTTGTTTCCAATATTTACATTACTTTCGTCCGTTTCCATTTTGTCACGGCTGCCATGCGCTGACGTCACACAAAAATCTAACCAACCTCTGAAGTCCTGTATACTTCTGCCTCAAAATTATGAATATTCACCAATACCTGGCAGAAAATGTATATGCAAACCCTCTTCTTCGATTCTACACCCAAAAGTCAACAAAATTCGCCATGCAAAAGGGGGAAAATGGAAAGGGAGAGAAAAACTAAAAATATCTTTGGCACTTGTTTCAATGGTCTACTCACTGAGGATTGATTTTGTGTGACGTCAGCGCATTCCTGTTCTTTTTTTATTGTATATTGTCTGGTTGGACATGGTGTATGCATACATGTATATATACGGATAGAAGGTCAGACTCCTGTGGGTAAAGTAGGAATACACTTCCATTCGAGCAAAGTAGGAATACCCTGTTCATGGGGCAAAGTAGGAATACCCTTTTGATCAGGCAAAGTAGAACACCTTTCTAGAACACCAGGTATCACTTTTCCGTTATGTAGAAAGTCAAATTTTAAAAATAACTCACTGTATTTTTGTTTGATTTGCTTTTATGAACGTATTTAAGATTATACATTGTTTTTATATGGGGTTTTATTTTGGTTTCGGTACCCACAGTTTTTATATGGGGTTTTATTTTGGTTTCGGTACCCACAGTTTTTTGTAACTGGAGATCCAACAATATCTTTGAAAATGAAATATGATAGCTTTTTATACTTACTTCCTGTTTAATATTAATATAAAGATTATTGTATAAATATTGGTTTGTTACAAAATAAAATATTATATCATATAATGTTGAGTAAACCTTGAACACTCTTTCTAATCTACATAAAGCCACCCTGACCTCTATGGGCCTTCGAACAATGTCCGATGGTACTCCCCTGGTGACACCCTAACCCTAGCCACCCTGACCTCTATGGGCCTTCGAACAATGTCCGATGGTACTCCCCTGGTGATAACACAGACAAGGGAGAGGTAGAAACTTACTTCTGTATATTTGAATATACCAAATTAATAGATCTTTGTAGTCTTGATAAATAAATAAAATGGGGGTTAACGTTCTACTGTTCTGCTCCGACTGGGCTAATGAAGACGGGCATACACCATACAATGTGCTATGAGGGGAAATTTTACGTACATGCCAATGTGTAGACTGGACCTTGTTTTTTTTTTGTCCCATCCAAATGACAAGCCCTCCTTCCTGTACCACGGACAAGGGAAAAACCACGCCGGAAATATCTCGATGGACTTCCTCGGACAATGCAGGCTAGCGAGCGAGCGTCTTACCCACCGTGGTTCCTTACCTATAACATAGAGATTCCCTCCATCGTTTCCCTGGGTTTGGAATGATGATGACTGAGTCTTCTTGTTAAGTTTCCACTTTGAGTCTTGTCAATCTGCATCGTTACAGCCCCCCCCCCCCCCACCATAGAATTTGTTGCTAATGTATTCTTTAATGGGTAGCCAAGACAACATGAAAACGTCTACTAGACAAAGAAATGGGGTTTACCATCCACTCAACAAATAAAACTAAGTCATTTTGGGACTAATATAACATAAGAGTCTTTAGCAGTGGGAGGAAATCGGAGGACCAGGAGAAAACCCACGAGGTTGGACAGGTGACCCTACTCCTTGTCACGTACAACCGGGGAATAGAAACCATGCCAGTTTACTCAATGACAGACCTTACGATACAGCGAGCATGCATTAACCCACTAGACCCCACCAAGTTAAAGCTTGAGGAATATTCAAGATAGGTTGCCAGGCAACAAAACATACGCCCACAGCAGCTTAATTGTCGGGCAGTCAACAAGAGTTGTAAAATTTTACTTTTGTCAGTAATGTAACATTTATCATACACTCAAATCTGATTAAGAGTAACAACTCATTAAGTAATTATCAGAAAATCATTAGAATTTGTTTGGCCCATGCTAACGTTTAGTATATAAAACATTTAATATCATGGATTTAGCTGTTCAAGTTATCAAAAATCATTGAAAATCAATATACTCTGTGTATCAATCTAAAGTCAATTGAAATGATTATATATGGGCGTAAACACGGTGTATAAATATAATATCAATCAGATGATAACTATGGTCTCTAAAGCATCCACAAGATTTTTCAAAGTGATCAAGGGCCATAACTCTGTCAGTAATTATCGTAAATCATTGAAAATCAATAGGCTTCTTGCCTTTTTCATCTCATGACCTTAAACACTGTGTATAAACCCTAAACCCACATGGATATTAACTTTTGCCTCTTGTGGACGCCAGACGGACGGACGGGCGGGGGCAACAACAATATACAATCATATTTCAATGTAGGGCGTATAAAAATAGAGAGAGAGAAAAATGGGGTTTAACGTTCACTCGACACAAACTAGGTCATTTCGGGACTAACATGTGGTTTAATTTTATTTCAATAATTTTATTTCGGTCTTTAGCAGTGGGAGGACCTGGAGAAAACCCACGAGGTTGGACAGGCGACCTTACTCCTTGTCACTTACAACTGGGGATTCAAAACCACGCCAGTTGACTCAAGGACAGGCCGTATGATACAGCACGCACGAGCTAACCATTCGACCATCCAACCCCCCTGTATAAAAACAACATAAGAGTATAGTATCTTGCTGAATGCTTATTTATTGTTTTACATATATAGCAGTTTACAAGCCAGCTTTCAATATAAAGAAATTACAAAACAAACAAACAGACGGAGAAATGACAATTTACAATCATTAGACAATTCGTTAAAGATGCATAGCCAAAAATTCACGCTACAAATATAGTCTTAAAATTTCATAGTATTTTTATACTGCAAGAAATACCATTTATGTAGTGTACCAGTACATTATATATTGAAATAGAAAACAAAGATAGCCAATAATACACCCTCAAATAACTCAGAACTATAGTCCTAAATAACACAGAACTTGATTCTTAAATTTCATAGCTCAGAACTTTAGTTTTAAATTTCATAGCTCAGAACTGTAGTCTTAAATAACTCAGAACTTTAGTCTTAAATTTTATAGCTCAGAACATTAGTCTTAAATTTCATAAATTGACTAACTATCCACAACCCCTGCAAGTAAGGTTTGTCGAAAGAAAATTTAGATTCAGGAATTCTTGAAAAGTTAGTTATGGTGCAGTGTTCGTACAAAAATATTTTTATGTGAATGCTGTTTTTGGATAAAGAACTATAAGCCAAAAGATTCCCACAATTCAAAAAAAGTCTAATAAGTGTGTGTATATAATTGAACTAGTTCAGTAAAGAGAAGAAAATTCAGGATTAAAACTGAAGATTTTAGTGTAGTGCAGACTTAAATTATTAACCAATCAAACCCAGTTTTTTTTTCAAAATTTTTTAAATTCCATCCTGTATACCAATGTAGACAATTTGATTTGTCTTTCAGTTCATGGGATCCGAACACATATTTTAAAGATAATATTTCACAGGTCAATGATGTAGTAAAAAAAGGGAGAGAAAATGTAACCGTCAACCAATATTTATGATATAATAAATAGGTCATAGTCATTAATACTTCTTAAATGTCTATAAAATAAAAACTAACACCAGCGATGAAAACGGAGAGGTAAGAATATTGGTATTGTCTATTGCCAGGCCGGTTAGTGGGGGAGGAGTTAAATCAAACAGGGTTTAACGTCCAACTGAAGATGGGCATACTCCATACAGTGTGCTATGAGGGAAATTTTGCCTGGGCAGCGGCACTATGGCTTACTCTTGTATCGAATTCCAACTGCCATGGGATCTGTTATGTGCATGCCAATGTGTACATGGGACCTCAGTTTTTCCTACCAACTGAACGACTAGACAGCTGTCTAAGTCAGGCCCTCCGTCCTGCACCACTGACAAGGGGTATCATTTATAAGCAATTCTGAGTTAAGGAGAGGGGTGGGTAGTCAGAGTGTCGTAACTGGAGGTGTGGGGATTTCCAACCCTCTCCAACCGACCTGATACAAAGACTCTACTAAGACTATGTTAAGAAAGATATGAATCAAATCTAAATGTAATTTATATACATATTTCTACTCTTTAACAATTACCCAAAAAGGGTTATTATTTATTTCTTTTAAAGGGCCAATCCCGATAATATTTTGGAGAATAAAACTGCTTAATTTTGTGTTAAAATCCCTTAAAATTCTCTACCTAAGAGCCGAGCAACTAACTCAATATTTGTAATACGTTTTCAAACAACTTAAACCTGCCAGTCGTCATCTGGAAATGGAGACCGATGTCAAAACTGTATTATACGGTGTCTGGATAAAACCAGACTTTTATAAATAAACGGGAATCGATTATCAGGTCGCCCAACGAAAAAATTGACCCGAAATCTTAAAAGGGTTACGTGTCCAGATAAGCATTTTTGACTTTCATGTCCAAACGACTTAATATTTTGAGCTGATATTTTGAGACAAGGTAAATTCACCATTTCTCTATATTTGGGCGTTTAAATTTCATACGTACTCAGACTTTTATTTTTGAGACTCAATTCAAATCGGGATAGTCCCTTTAATTTAAAATTTATATATATATATGTGTGTATCTATCCTATTAAGATTTTTAATGATTTATTAACATATATATATATATATATATATATATATCTATATAATCCAAACCATATATCTCCATATATTAGCTTAATACACACATTCAAACTCTCTCTTTATATACAAGGGCTTCAATACAAGGAGGATGATCTTGTCCAGTTGCGGTTTCACGGCGGATGTAACGTTTGGTTTCACACCAGGTGTGCTTCCACCATTGTGATATGGCAGACGATCTTGTCCAGTGTGTTTAACAGCTTTATTTAACCTCTGTTTCAACCTTACGGAATTAATGTCCGTTTTAACCTAAATGATTTTCGGCTCCACTTCAACCTAAGTGGTTTTAATGTCCGTGTAAACCTAAGTGATTATAACGTCCACTTCAACCCAAGTGATTTTAACGTCCACCTCAACCTAAGTGGTTTTAATGTCCGTGTAAACCTAAGTGGTTTTAATGTCCGTGTAAACCTAAGTGATTATAACGTCCACTTCAACCCAAGTGATTTTAACGTCCACCTCAACCTAAGTGGTTTTAATGTCCGTGTAAACCTAAGTGGTTTTAATGTCCGTGTAAACCTAAGTGATTTTAACGTCCACCTCAACCTAAGTGATTTTAATGTCCATTTCAACCTAAGTGATTTTAACGTCCACTTCAACCCAAGTGATTTTAACGTCCTTTTCAAACTAAGCGATTTTAACGTCCGTTTCAACCTAAGTGATTTTAAAGTCCATTTCAACCTAAGTGATTTTAACGTCCGTTTCAACCTAAGTGATTTTAAAGTCCGTGTAAACCTAAGTGATTTTAACGTCCACCTCAACCCAAGTGGTTTTAATGTCCGTGTAAACCTAAGTGATTTTAACGTCCACCTCAACCTAAGTGATTTTAATGTCCATTTCAACCTAAGTGATTTTAACGTCCACTTCAACCCAAGTGATTTTAACGTCCTTTTCAAACTAAGCGATTTTAACGTCCGTTTCAACCTAAGTGATTTTAAAGTCCATTTCAACCTAAGTGATTTTAACGTCCGTTTCAACCTAAGTGATTTTAAAGTCCATTTCAACCTAAGAGATTATAACGTCCACTTCAACCCAAGTGATTTTAACGTCCGTGTAAACCTAAGTGATTTTAACGTCCACCTCAACCTAAGTGATTTTAATGTCCATTTCAACCTAAGTGATTTTAACGTCCACTTCAACCCAAGTGATTTTAACGTCCTTTTCAAACTAAGCGATTTTAACGTCCGTTTCAACCTAAGTGATTTTAAAGTCCATTTCAACCTAAGTGATTTTAACGTCCACTTCAACCCAAGTGATTTTAACGTCCTTTTCAAACTAAGTGATTTTAACGTCTATTCCAACCTATGTGATATCGTAGACAATAACCAAGACTACATCAGTATTATAGCAAGTCCTCTCTCTATAGGGCGTAACCGTGATATAGTGAGAGAGAGATGTGGGTTTAACGTCCACTCGTCAGGAGAAAACCCACAAGGTAGGACAGACAACGCTACTCCTTGACACGTTCAAGTGGGGATTCAAATCCACAACAAGGAGTTGAGTTTATATCATATTTTTTAAAGTAGTTGTGATCTGATTGGACATCAGCCTTGTAATGAAGCCCCTTGTAGTATACGTTATATCTAAATTAATATTAATACTTTCTTTCGTATAGGTTTACACTAGAAAATTCAAAATTTAATATAAACTTGTATGTACACACAGCAGATTTTTAAATATTTATCTTCAATAATGATACGTACAAAATTGTCACGAATTTAATTAATTTAATATATTTCGCTGAATTTGCTATAAAATGAATCCAGGAAAATTGGATAAAATTATGGCACGAAGAGATATACTTAGAATTTATAAAGTTTACAATAATATCTGACTTTATATGTATTTACGTTGATTTACTTGTTTCACAGAAGACTATTCCCTATAGTGAATTAATGCCGGACATCAACTGTGCAATATTGTATACGAGAAAATGCCCGGTTGATTAGATATTCAGAGTAAAATATTTTAATAGTTAAATCAGCCAACCCTATCAATATTTTAAATAATAATATAAAAAGGGTCTTTACATATATGTCTAATGATTTTTATAATAAAAATTGGACACAAAAAAAAAACGCACATGCACATGTAACATACAAAAAAAAAAAAAAAACATGCAGCCAAAAATTGTGATTTATTTTTTTTTTTGTACAGATTAGTTTATTTCTTATAATACATATAGACAACAAAACTTTATTTTATATGAAACCGACTAATTTATTCATATAGTTTTTGTTTGTTCGCGGTAAAAAAAACACAGACTATACAATTATATATATATATATATATTATTATTATAATATAAAACGATCGCATTACACAGTTATTTCTGTCTACATGATTCATGTTCGACATTATGTAAAGCCAAACACACCAAAAAACAAGCTCAGCATTTTTGGCAATACTGGGTTACCATACCCTTTTTTTTTTTTTTTAGTTCAGAAAATATTTTTTGAATTTAATCATTGTCGTTTCAGGTTATTTAAGGAAAATATAATAGCACGGATCACAAAAAAATCTGACTGATATTTTTTTTAACATTAGAATTTAAGAAGCCAATTTGTAGTTTGAAAGATTTCCCCGGAAACATGGCCTCTGAAGAAGTGATAGCTAGATTTAACGTTCGGATTTGATCCACTGATTTGATTACACGTCTCATACCAATGTATGATTGGTTGAAATATTTCCCATCATGCCACATGTTAGTTATGACGATTGATCTTATCGAGCTAATATTTTCTACGACTTATAACTATCAGAATAAATAAACTAATTAGCTAAAATACATAATAACATATTGATGATTAATCAAATACGAATGGAGACAATATTTGCAATGTTAAGAGCGGTTGCCAGGCAATGAAACATACACCAAAAGCAGCTAAATACTTCAAACCGTCTATTATGATTGTCACACTCAGATGATAACTTTGCTCTCCAGAATATCCACAAGATTATTTAGATTGATCAAGGGCAATAACTCGGTAAGTAATTATAAGAAATATTTGAAAATAAACTGTGTGTATCAACTTCAAGTTAATAGGATGATGGCCTCTAGAGTGTCAATAAGTAATTGTGGACTAACGGACATGGGTGATGACAATATAAGACCACATTTAAATCTGGGAGTATAAAAACTGTGAAGATGCCATAAAGACTACCGTATTCAAACTCTTTCTAGAATAATAAATAAATCATTTCTTATAAAAACAAAATACTTGGGTTTGAGTTATTCAATAACAATTATATTTGTGACCAAAAACAAAATTCAAGGCAAATTTTGGCAATCAACAAATGGTAATAAAATGGTAGACTTGATTGATAAGTCCATAAGTTAAGACTTTGTTATCAAGTTAAAACAATTGAGGCAATTCCTCTTGTTGATATATATTTGAATGTATTTTTGTGATATAATTCCCTGGGAATGTTGCAACATTGGTTTTTTTTAGTAGTTAGTGCTGTTCTCCTACAGTTAATATTATATCAAAAACTAAAATATTAAACATACATTATGCAAGAGCTAAATCTGCCTAGTGCAGGTCTTTCTTTAGGCCTGAAATGTTTTCTAAATTATTAATTAACTGATCCAGGTCATAATCAACTCTCAATGGCATCGGATTTCTCCGATATTAAATAGATTAGAATGATTCAGCCATATTTTGATTTAATTTAAAAATGAAGGAGCAAGACTTATCTTCGAACAACCAGTACGGTGGTTGAAATTATTGCACGTCTTGTCAAACCTTCAAAGGCTAATTTCTTCACTCGCAGTAAAGTAATTTGAATGAAATTATTCGTTTTCGTTATCTATTTTCGAACTATTATAGCAAGAATGGCTAGCTCTTTATCTAAATCTTACATAATGTATCTTTAAATCAAGGTACCCATATACGATAATCGAAACGCTGTGTCCATAATCAAAATTCTTATTTCTTTTCTCTCCAGAAAATGGAATATAAAAACACAGGATCTGACAAACAAACATGATGTAAATTGGGTTCGGAGGCATCACAGCATGACGTCACTTTTAAATAACAAGATGGCAGGACAGCATGATGTCATATCTAAATAACAAGATGGCAGGACAGCATGATGTCATATCTAAATAACAAGATGACATGACATGATATTGAATTCTTACTTAAAGATGCATTATATAAGCTTTAGATAAAGAGCTGTTTTTGCTAAAATAGTTCAGAAATAGATAATGCAAAATGAATATATTGAAAATTTTATTAAATTTTCTTTATTCTTGACGAAGTTATGACTGTTTGAAGATATAGCGCAGATTGTTCATCGTCGTAGCAACGGTACTTTGCAACCGAGACTAAGTCTCAATTATTCATTTTAACGTTAAATTTTTAAATCTTGCAGTTTGTTCAAATCCATTTAAAATCTTGGCCATCCAATGGTCCAGAGAGTTAATTATAGGCTATGTTAATTAATGTCTAAATAATAGCTTATATAAGATTTGAAAACATTATAAAGATCTACAATAGGAAAATTTACCTCTTACATGATGCATCTTTTATGGAATATCTAAACTGTGTGTTTACAAGATGTCACGTATCAATATAAGGTAGTAAAGTTGTCAAGATTATCGGGGAAAACACCAAAATCAACCCATTTAAAATTCAGATTTAAAACGATACTATTTTTATTTCTCCTTAATACAATCGCTAATAGCAACAAACCACACACACAAAAACATATTGAGCATTTTTAATTTTTTGTATATATTCATATATATTTATTCTACCTAATAATTTATACAAATTTCATACAAAAAAAATTATTATTATTATATTAATATTATATTGCAAGATCATAGCACTAAAACAAAAAGTCGTGGAGTACAAGAAAACTATTCATGGAAATCGAAAAAGCATTCGCACCATTTTTATTTGTACATGTATAATATTTACTTCTGGATTCAATGACTGATTACAATTTTGCGTAATAGTTAAATTTTACAAATCTTAAATTAGCACAGCCTCTTTGATTTGGGTCCAAAATAAGATTTTCGATTTAACTGGATTTTATGGGAATTTGTTTTATTTAACATCCAATTGACACAAACTAGGTCATTTTGAGACTAACATATGGTTCAATTTTATTTCAATAGGGGTCTTTAGCAGTGGGAGGAAATCGGAGGACCCAGAAATAACCCATGAGATTGGGCAGGCGACCCTACTCCTTGTCACATACAACCTGGGAATCGAAACTACGCCAGTTGACTCAATGACAGACCTTAACACACACGCGCTAACAATTCGGCCATCCAGATGAACCCAATTCAATACTTTATTTTAAACTAAATCAAAGAGGTTTAGGCTATGTTATATACATGTGTTTATAAAAGCAGTAGTTTGTAATTTGAGTTATTTCTAAAAAATATATTCTCTTAATTATGTTATGGTCTTGGTTAAATTATGCTTTAAAAGAACTCGAACTAAACTATGGAAGCAAATGATTGAGTGTATTGTGTACCAATATCAATATAATGCCGAGAAGGGTACATCAAAATATATTAAGGGTAATAACAGTTCCCAGGAAAGGCAGGATTTTGTTATTTTTGAAGGCTGATTATAGCATGTTTTTATCTGTACTGTGGAGTGGAAATAACTGAAAGATCTGACCTCAAGTTCACAAAGCATTCTCAGACTTAAGTTAATAATTTACTAAAAGATTTTCGCCTTTTTTAAACTCAAATATAGCCCTTTAAAAACTTTTATTGTTTTAATGTATCAAATACACCAATAAGGAACTATGTGCAAAGTTTTGTGTATCTGGATCAAAGATATTTCTCATAAACAGTGATTGAAAGTTGAGTAAATTCTTAACTTACGTTTGAGAATGCTTTGTGAACTTGGGGATCTGCTATAAAGTAAAATACATACTTGGCTATTGTAATGATATCAAAATTCATTAACAAAATAACAAAAAAAAATAAACCGACCAAACATACAAAAAGCCATAAAACAGAACTAACCAGAATTTAATTATTACTGGTAATGTCTAATAAATTTCACTAGCTTGATACTAAAAAGCTATACAAGCACATTTACTGAAACGTTGTGGTATGTTAACATGCTGGTAATGAATGAATGTATCCAATGAATTTTTGTTTACTCACAAAAAAATACACAAAAAAAAAAATCTAACAAACTGTATAAAAGATTCCTTCCTTGTTAGTATATCGTGATATTTGTAAAATATACAAAATTAGGATGTTCGCGATTTATTACAAAATAAAACGTTTTTCTTCACGATTGGTCAGGTGTATCAAACTCCGTAGAATCGTAGCTCTTGGATGAATTTATTCCACGTAACACACAGTTATTACTTTACGTCATAGACCTCTCCGTTGCGTTACTTCTTCAACAGCAGCATTATGGGTTCATATCACTTTTAATGTCTGATTTGTCTTCAAACAAAGTACGAGCGTATTATATGCACCAGGGGTCAAACATGATGTCATTGTAGCCATTTTGAAATTGTGACGTCATATCAAAAATCAAAGTCCCTCAATCGATGCACAGAACGGTATGTCAGGTTTCATGTTGATATTACTTGTATTATTTTTTAACTGCGTCGCTTCAAGAAGAAGAACAAGTAATTCCAGGTTCAACAGCGTTGTTTTACATCAGCAACAGACAATCCAGTAAATTTCTAACAACCATAACTTTAATTAACAGAAATGATCTGTAATTTAATGATCTAAAACCATTGACAGAAATGATCCGTAATTCAATGATCTAAAATCATTAACAGAAATGATCCGTAATTTAATGATCTAAAACCATTGACAGAAATGATCCGTAATTTAACAACCTAAGACCATTCATAGAAATGATAGTAAATTAATGATCTAAAATCATTGACGAATTTCAGTCTGATGTAAGATGAACAATACCTTCACAAAGTATCTAAACAAATTGTTTTATTTCCTTTTAGAAGATAAAAAAAGTCAGTTCAGGTCTCTGGTTCTGTACTTAAGTAACTGAATTTCCACGTAAAAATTCCCAACCTTTCGGTTAACGCCTGAACAGTAAGTGTCAAGTAAAACAAGCTGTGTTTATCCAGTATTCAGTAATCAACCAATCAAATCGCATACAGACATCCTCAACTTTTATCGGAGGGAGAAGAAAGTAATTTCTGCTAATTGTTTACACTCCCTAGTATTCAGTAATCAACCAATCAAATTGCATACATCCTCAAGTTTTATCGGAGGGAGAAGTAAGTATTTTCTGCTATTTGTTTACACTCCCTAGTTTATTAGTTCCTCTATATTATTTACATATTGTATGCTACATATATGGGATCCAACTGATCAGCCAAGAAACCGTCACGTAGATGCATTCGCTGTTTTTCTCCGCGAGAATTTATTGGCACGATTCCAGGATCTACAACCACCACGACACCCACAATTAAATAATGATCTTCTAATACACTATTGGTTACTAAGGGAACTAAATCCAGAGCTTCATTTTCGTTTCCGTCCAGTTCGACAACAACAACTAAAAGATTGGTCCATGTAAACACAGCACTGAAGGAGAAAAATAATTTAATTATAAAAAACATAACTAACCTGTTTAAAAACATTCTATTATTTTCAAATGAATCATATGGAGTTTTATAGCACGTCAGCTCCAACTGGGCTATATGCTGCCATGAGACAAATTAAACCAATATTACATAAATATATTTATATACATGAATAAAAACAAGAATGACAGATATAGATAAAAATAAATAGATATAAGTCCTTTAAAAGGGGGAGGGTGATTAGATGGTCGAATGGTTTAATGTTCACTCGACACAAACGAGATCATTTCGGGACTAACATATGATTCAATTATATTTTAATAATTCGCTTGTAAGTAGGAGTCTTTTAGCATCGGGAGGAAACTGGGGAGGAAAAACACGAGTTTGGACACGTGACCCTACTCCTTGTCATGGACAACCGGGGAATCGAAACCACGCCAGTTGACTAAATGACAGACCTTACGTGGCAGCGTACACATGCGCTTACCATTTGGCCATTCAACCCCCCCAGTGATGCAGGAAGGAGGGCCTTACAAGGAAAAATGTCTAGTCACTATTGGCATTACGTTAAAGAACCCTCGACTTACCATTCACATATTTTACGATGACATCGCTGGGCACTGTTTTCGATGTCCATTGGGTGATATCTCATTCCACGTAACATTATCGTCTCATCTAGAGCCCCAACAACAAATATAGCATCATGTCGCTCTGAAAGATAGACACACATATAATAATCTAACACATTCATTGCTCTGTCGGGGGGGTAGCTCGTCTCGTTATCTGTTTGATCAATTTGTCAGAGAGAGAGAGAGAGACAGTAGGTCATTTGGGGACTAACATATGGTTCAATTTTATTTCAATAATTCGCTTGCGCGTAGGGGTTTTTAGCAGTGAGAGGAAACCGGAGGATCTGGAGAAAACCAAACAAGATGGGACAGGATATCATATTCCTTGTCACGTACAACTGGGGAATCGAAACCACGCCAGTTGACTCAATGACAGACCTTATCATTCAGATGAACTTTCAAAAGCACAAATGAAAGACATAAAATCACACGATACATTTATCTGTCGTGTGTTTTTGGATTCAATGTCATATTACATTAGCCTTTTTTAATGCACGTGCAAAAACCATGTGAAATGTCAGGCAAAGCTAACCGAGCACATCTTTACTAATCGGCTACAAGATTTGCAAAACCAGTCGATAAATTATTCAACATGATATTACTACAACATGTACATCGTTAATATGTTTCATCTAGAGCCTCCTAACTGTGTACATTATTTCCTCAAACTAGTATGGTTTACAATTTAAAAGCATAATGTCCTCAGTAGTTTACATAGATTAGTCTGTGTTATATTCTAAGATCAGTCATTCTGTGACTGTCAGCGTTGTATTCTAAAATCAGTCATTCTATGACTGTCAGTGTTGCATTCTAAGATCAGTCATTCTATGACTGTCAGCGTTATATTCTAAGATCAGTCATTCTGTGACTGTCAGTGTTGTATTCTAAGATCAGTCATTCTATGACTGTCAGTGTTGTATTCTAAGATCAGTCATTCTGTGACTGTCAGTGTTGTATTCTAAGATCAGTTATTCTTTGACTGTCAGCGTTATATTCTAAGATCAGTCATTCTGTGACTGTCAGTGTTATATTCTAAGATCAGTCATTCTATGACTGTCAGCGTTATATTCTAAGATCATTCATTCTGTGACTGTCAGCGTTGTATTCTAATATCAGTCATTCTATGATTGTCAGTGTTACATTCTAAGATCAGTCATTCTGTGACTGTCAGTGTTATATTCTAAGATCAGTCATTCTATGACTGTCAGCGTTATATTCTAAGATCAGTCATTCTGTGACTGTCAGTGTTATATTTTAACATCAACCAGTCAATCTATCTAACCATGTATTTATCAAAGCAAAAGTCGTTTTGATCATAAATAAGAATATATATATATTATTAGAGAATAATCTTACCTCCGTCTGACTGGGTTAATTCAGTTCGTCTGATAAAACCAAGGAAACCAGTTCGAGCGTACGAGGTACCAACATCACCGGTTTCTAGTCTTGAATCGTAATGATCCTGATTTAATGATTCCTCACCGTAAACTGAATAATATCCTGTAGAATTATGTGGACTGCTCACCCAAATCTAGAAAAACAAACCAACATGTCATAATTGTAGTAATTAATTAAGTATTATATAATTCATGTCGTAGTAATTAATTAAACTCTTATATAATTTGTGTTGTAGTAATTAATTAAACTATTATATAATTTATGTCACAGTTCGTTCGTTCGTTCGTTCTTGGTGTTTAACGTCTGCTTCCACATAAGTGATATCGCAGACAAGACATAGGAGAGCCGAACCTGATTCCTGTTTTTTAGAATATGATTTTGCAATCTTTCCATTTGGCCTTAGGCCATGGATTTGGTTTAGTGGGAAGTTCTTCCCTTTATTTAATATAAAACATATCGTTTGGTAGATGATCTCGTCTGCTTCTGGATTGGTAGATGTCATCGTTTTAGTGTTTAGGTGCCAGGCCCGTCTTATCGTGGCCTCCCCTTACTCCACTATCCCACTCTCTGGGTTTGGTATCAGTTTTATTTGCGGAATTGTGTTTAGGTGCCGAGTTCGTCTGACCGTAACTCCCCCTTACTCAACTATCCTGCTAGTGGGGTTTGTGTTTAGGTGCCAGGCCCGTCTTATCGTGACCTCCCCTTACTCCACTATCCCACTCTGTAGGTTTGGTGTCTGTTTTTGGTGGAATAGTGTTTAGATGCCGAGTCCGTCTGATCGTGACTCCCCCTTACTCCACTATCCTGCCAGTTTGGTATAAATCCCCTATGTAGTTTAGTGTGTAGATGCCGGGCCCGTCTAACCGTGACCCCTTCTTACTTCACTATTCTACTTAGTCCAACTGTGTCCATTAGGGCATGGATTTGTTCGAAGATTTGCAGTTTCAGATCTGGTCTCGGGAAGAGTAGGTTCTTAGTGTTGAATGGTATGTTGTTGGTCTCCATTGTTCTCACTAGTTCCCTTCTCTCCTCCTCGTATACCTCGCAGTCTACCAGGACATGGTTGGTGGTACATTCTTCTCCGCACTCACAGATGATGACTTGGTGTTTGTAGTCTCGCAGCCGCTCTTTCACCCTTAGCTTCGATATAGGTCTACAAATATCTCTTCTAGGGTGATTGAGTGTTGTCTTTGTGTAGATCTTGTCATCCAGCCGGAATCTGTATGTGTCAAGTTCAACGAGATTTAATTCCCAAATTGAATTGACCTGTCTTTTGACCATACTGTAGATTTCCGTGGTGCTGTAGTCTATGGTGCGGAGTGGTACTGTGTCCTTGAGACCTTCATTGGCGAGTCGATCTGCCTCCTCGTTTCCTCTAATGTTGACATGTGATGGAATCCACACGAGTTCTACTTTGCTTCCCTTCTCTATAACCCTCTGGTACAGCTGCCTGATTTCCAAAAGGACTTCTGGTCTTGAGTCCGAGTTGTCATTTTGGATTGAAATCAGACTGCTCAATCCAAAATGACAACTCGGACTCAAGACCAGAAGTCATTTTGGAAATCATAGTAATTAATTAAACTCTTATATAGTTTGTGTTGTAGTAATTAATTAAAATATTATATAATTTGTGTTGTAGTAATTAAACTATTATATAACTCGTGCTGTAGTAATTAAACTATTATTTAATTCATGTTGAAGTGAGTAATTAAAATATTACCTCTCCTAGATGTGAATCAGCACATTGACCTTTAGTTTCAGGATTAGCAATAACCACTTTAACACCTGGTAATAACTACAAATATACGAAAACATGTGGCACCTGGTAATAATTACAAATATACAAAAACATGTGACATCCAATATAAGAAATAAAAAACTCCTCCATTTAGGGTTGAAGGATGTCAATACATCTGTTTACTGTTACAAAGTTTGTTAAAATTGATCTAGTGAAAGAACACATAATTTATATTTAAACTAGTACAAAAATTGACTTTTTTAAAAACAAATGTTTTAATACCTAGTCAAAAGTCTTAAATTAAAAAATTCTAAGACTGTCAAAGTTTCAACTAAATGAAATTCAATCTAGCGTGATAAAAATGAAGATGGATGTAGAAATTTGATTAAGTGCGTTATAAAGTTTACCTTTCCAGATTCCATTACACACATACTATTAGGACTTCCCTTCTCCACCAACGTAACTCTATCATTACGTAACGCACGCAGATCTACGTAGGCTGTTGTTGGTTCTGGACACGATGCACCCTGAAATAAAATAAATTACATTTATATCGCGCTGATTCCACATACAGTCGTGCTTATAGCGCTACAAAAACACAATCACTCTTACAAATATTTCTCATATAAGTATGTTTTCAATCTGGATCTAAACGAGTCTAATGATGGACAGGATCTAAGTTTTTCAGATAGCGAGTTCCACAAATTGGCAGCAACATCACCAAATAGAAACCATGCTACTTGACTCAATGACAGAGCAAATTATCCAACGCCTAAGCGTTAAACTATTCAGCAAAACACTCCCTGCCCCCCAAAATATAAACTATTTACCGTTAAACCAATGGCTACGTTGACACGGCAACCAAAACTGGTACTGACAGATCTATGACTTAAACCTAGACTAGCGAAAAGTTTAGTGAAGGAACTTGTTAGTTGTATTCTTGGTCGTTCTTCAGCTACGATAACACATGCTCGTACACACGAGAGATTCACACCTTTAGTCTGAAATGTAAAAATAAGAATTTTTTTTACATGTAATGATGTGTCATTTTTATTTCGCTAAAATATCAAATTTCTTACACCTTAACACACGCTAAATATGTGAGAGAGAGAGAGATGGGGTTTAACGTCCACTCGACACAAACTAGGTCATTTCGGGACTAACATATGGTTTAATTTTATTTCGATAAATTGCTTGTGCGTAGGGGTCTTTAGCAGTGGGAGGAAACTGGAGAACCCGGAGAAAACTCACGAGGTTGGACAGGCGACCCTACTCCTTGTCACGTACAACTGGGGATTCGAAACCACGCCAGTTGACTCAATGACAGGCTTTATGATACAGCGCGCACGCTAACCATTCAGCCATCCAACCCCCCTCGCTAAATATGTACCCAGATTGATTATTTAATAAAATCAAAATACCATCGCTAGATTGTATCTCCCAATGGATTCAAGCAGATATAAAATAGGCCTGTAATTAAGGTTCCTCCACATCAAATTTCTCCCAACTTTCACAAACATACTAACCTTTAATGCAACAGTTGATGTACCTAGACCCTTCGTACATAATTCCATTACACCATACGAACAAAATGTATCACGAACTGTAAAATATAATAAACATACCACTATATGTAACTAAATACAGTTCTTATACACATATTGTCACACTTCTCGGATATATTTAAACATACATTATGCAAGAGCTAAATCTGCCTATTGCAGATCTTTTTTTAGGCCTAAAATGTTATCTAAATTATTAATTAGAAATTAATTAACTTATCCAGACCAGCGGAATGGAATACATTTTTTGAAAAGTAATTAAATCGATAAATGGATAATCGAGACTTTGTTTTTTATCGTACCGACTTTAGTAATGATGATTGAGGCCAGCCAAAAATTCAGAAGCTAATATCTCGGTTTTAGAGAGGAACAATTTGACGGAAATTTTCAGCATATTCTATTTATGTTATCTATTACCTAATCTTCCATAATAATCCTTTACGTATTGAAAATTATACTTTTGAAATTTTCGCTCCTGTTGTTATCTCTGTGGCCATCCAATAATAACATTGATGTAAATGGCGTCCCGTGTCCTGATGTATGAAATATTAAATCACAAGTAAATGTTATCCTATTTCAACATATGTGAGTATGTGTGATCTTTAAATCCTTTGAATTGAATTGACTGCTGTCATAGACGAACAATTGATTGATTTGTCCACGCAACACAAGATTAGTCAATTATAAAATAAAAGAGTTAAAATGGCTGACCTTTATATTGACTGACAGCTGTTAACCATACAGCAGGATTAGCCTCAACTTCAGACGGTGGAATTAAAATGGAATGATGACCAGAATAGATGCTGCAAAATAAACAAATCAACTTTCATGCATTTGACACAACAATTACAGACAGTACATTTAACTTGCCAGATAACCTTCCCGCAAGACGAGACAGAAATCAGGTTTAATGTCCACTTGACACAAACTAGGTCACTTCGGGACTAACACATGGTTTAATTTTATTTAAACAATTTGCAAGAGCGTAGGGATCTTTAGCAGTGGGAGAAAACCCACGAGGTTGGACAGGCGACCCCCTACTCCTTGTCACGTACAACCGGGGAATCGAAATCCTGCCAGTTGACTGAAGCAGAGTTATTGTATACCAAAAGATGTGACGGAGAGGCAAACAGATGGGACGAACCATTTTGATAGTCCTCTGCTTCCTGCATGAGAAAATATACTAAACATTTACTGACCTGCTCAAACACCAAAGAGCGAAACCAAGACCACAATATGGATCTAGACATAAAACAACATCACGAGATGGATAGAGTTCACACTGTAATTTCTGCGCACGACATAACGCTGTCGCTGCTGCATGGGATAACTGAAACAAAACAATTACATCATATTATATATTATTATCACAACTTTAATCTTTCCACAAAGAATCTTAAAACTGAACTTTTTATCTGGGCTTTTAATAATGAAAATTTTTCATTATTTGTTTTAAAAGAGAGAGAGAGAGAGAGAGAGAGAGAAAGAGAGAGAGAGAGAGAGAGAGAGAAAGAGAAATGGGCTTTAACGTCCACTCCACACAAACTAGGTCATTTTGGGACCAACATATCCTTGGTGGGGAATCAAAAGGTCGTATCTGGATTTTGCAAAATTGTCTAGGAGAGCCAAAAATAGCACAGAGGTTAAGAATCAAAATGTCTTATAAAATCGTCACATCAAAATGTTGTATGTAAAATGTTGTATTTCTGAAGCTTTTTTCAAATATTTCTGTACAAAGTGTATGTTTAGCCATTAAAACAGTATGTAATTATCCACACGTATCAAGTTCATCATCTAGTCCAGAAATAAGGAATGGAAGCTGATTATTTGCAATTTTATACAGCAAAGACGCATCTCAGGAAAATATTCACCTTTACCTGCTTCAATTTCATAGATTTCACACAGTAGAGGCTCAACAATAATTTCAATAATACGTATTTAACCATAAAACAATACTGGCTATATTTCATTTGATTGTAATGCTTTGGTAAGACACAAAGTTGATTTTTTTCAAGAAAATACGACATTTTCACTCTTAATAATTTTTTTTTTTTTTGGAACACCCCATTTACGACATTTTGAAACAGTATCTATAAAACCTCTTTTTATTGGCTTAGAAATACGACAACCAGATGAAAAGATGCACAAGAAAATTCTCATTCTGAAGAAGAAAAAAAGTGAATTTCGCAAACTATGCCATATACGACCTTTTCACTCCCCATCAACAATATGATTCAACTTTATTTTAATAATTCACTTGCGTGTAGGGGTCTTTTAGCAGTAAGAGAAAATGGCAGGACCCGGAGAAAACCCATAAAGTTGGACAGGCGACCCTACTCCTTGTCACGTACAACAGGGGATTCGAAACCACACCAGTTGACTCAATGACAGACATTATGATACAGCGTGTACGTGCTGACCATTCGGCCATACAACCCCCCTAATGTTTGAGTAAAACAGAAAATTAGTATGTGCAGGCAAGTATGCCCAAATGCATAAGACCTAATTTTTAAGGTAAAACTTGTTTATATCAACGGGTTTTAAGATCCAACACAGCGTGTCCTACTTCTTATAAAACTACTCACCTTGACACCAGCTAACATACCAGTGGTTGAAACACTGAAATCTAAATAACAGATCATTTCAGGTGTAGGGGCGCGATATACTGCCGCTAACTTCTTCTTGGTGAGATCATCGGTATCTAAAACAGTTGGCCAGGTTTTAGGATCAACAAATACGGCTGCTTCCTGTTAAAACAAAATAAAATAAAATTTTAACATTTACCCCTTAAAATATTAAGAATGAACGAATTACAAAAACTTGAATAGTTAATGTACATCAATCTTTGTCTAAAAAAAAAGAAGCACATCTAATTTTTAAATGTGAATTCCTACTGGCATGCCTATGTGTATACTGGACTTTATGAATACTAATGATTCACTGGTTGAGCACAAAAACATCATATAACAAATATTAGCTCATGGTCAACGAAAAGGCTGCATTCTTCAAATATCTTAACTTAACTTTTCTTGAAAAAGGGCCCTAGTATTTTTCTTACATTATTTCAACTTAGATTTAAGTAATTTGACAACTATTGTATTAATTAACTCACCTCAGATTTTAGTAATTTGACAACTATTGTATTAGTTAACTCACCTTAGATTTAAGTAATTTGACAACTATTGTATTAGTTAACTCACCTTAGATTTAAGTAATTTGACAACTATTGTATTAGTTAACTCACCTTAGATTTAAGTAATTTGACAACTATTGTATTAGTTAACTCACCTTAGATTTAAGTAATTTGACAACTATTGTATTAGTTAACTCACCTTAGATTTAAGTAATTTGACAACTATTGTATTAGTTAACTCACCTTAGATTTAAGTAATTTGACAACTATTGTATTAGTTAATATGGCTACAGATTTGCTGACTTCTACAGTCATTCGTACAGTAGGTAATGTAGAAGCTATATTCTGGGCATGTGGAGGTCGTATTGTCACTGGTACACATCCTGTACAAACACAAGTTTTAAGGAGAATTATTTTTAAAACAAAATTTTTGTCCAATAAACTTTTTTTAAACCATATTATGCTTATTCCATGGTTTTTGGATTGAAGAAGACAAAAGGGAGGCAGGGGTCACTCTCCTTAATTCCCCAAAGTAAATAGCGTGGCTGATGTCTTTTGGCGTACTTCCCAAACAATTCTGTAATGAGGCTGACGCCCCTCGACTTAATCCCAAAATCGAAACACTCAAGAAATAATTGTAAATTCATCTTTTTGTAAAGCATGGAGTAAACTGGTAAACATGAGAAGAAAATGATGATTAACGGACTTAGTCAAGGTACTGATGTAATCAAACTATACACCAAGTTTCATCACTCTCACTAAATTACAACTAAACTTATCATACTCCTAAGTATCGAGAAATCAAATTGATTATCTCAGTCTAGCCCAGGCAGAAAATGCCCCTCATCAGTCACATGATCAACATTTATACCAAGTTTCATCATTCTACCTCATTTAGAAGTAAAGTTTTTATGTTCGAAATGTTGTTACGGGCAGGCAAAACCCACTTTAACCGTCCCCAGCATCAGGGGGGCAAAAATATAAAATATTGATAACTTACCTACATAAAGACAACCATAAAATGCTGCAATAAGTTCAATTCCTGAAAAAATACAAATAATATTTATCAGTGAATTTTATACAATTAACTTATGCATCTACTTAAATAATATTAACTTTAATTTAACATTTTCTCCAAATTTATCTACCGAGCATTTCACTTCAAAATTGTGCCAACAGGTAAACATAGCAAGATATTTTAAGTTGACACTATTGTGTAGATGCTGTTACTGGCCAGGCCCTTCTACCTGCACCACTGTCCACTGACCGGGGGGGGGGGGGGAACCAACCTGGAAGTTTCTTGGCCAGCACTGTGATCAAACCCTGGACCGTCTGGTTACCTAGCCAATGTCCTAATCACTGAGCCACTGCAGCTCCAATAACTTTATGAAAATATCTAATTAAGAAATAGGTAAAATATTTTACCTGGAGTATAAACAAGAGCAACATGATCTCCTGTATTTAATTTTCCTTTCTCCATTAATAAACAACCTATTCTTTCAGCTCGTTTATGTAATTGGGAACAGGTAACTGTCATATGTTGCTGTACCTGTACAAAATAAACAATACAATTATTCTTCATTACGAAAACTAAGATCTTAATATCACCAGTAGATAATCTCCCAGTTTACCAAAAACTTATAAGCGCGCACCTACTCCTTGTCAGGTACAATATGGGTATTGAATACAGGCCACATGCACGGAGGAGAGAAGGCAGATACAATATGGGTATTGAATACAGGCCACATGTATGTACCGTTGCAGGTACTGCACTCCTAGTCAACTACAAGTCTGGGATCAAAGTCAAGCTACTTGACTTAATGACAGACCCCATGATCTAAAGCGTACATGTTAGACCCTTCAGCCACTCATCCACCCCCCCCCCCCAGTGTTCTATGTGGGAAATTTTGCCAGGACAGCAGCACTATGGCCTACTCTTATATCTAATTCCATCTTGCCAATGTATACACGAGACCGCAGTTTTCCGTCCCATCCAAGCGACTATACATTGTCCCTTGCCAGGCCCTTCGTTTTGCACCAGACGTGGGGAATCCACAGCGGAAAATCCTGATGAACTTTCTCTGTCAACGCAATGTAACCTCCATGTTAATAGCGAGCCACTGTGGCTCCCCCTTGTATTAATGAAGTTTAAAGGAGCTAAATCGCTAATATTTTGGACCTAGAAATTGGCACAAATGGGTCGCAACACATATAATAATGTAATATGAATTTATATAAACTGTTTTACATTCAATCGTGTCCGTTTTACTGTGAATTGTCATCAGTTATGTTAGGCGAAATACGCCATAAGTCTCAACCGCAAGTCAGTTTCTAGCGTCTGGTTATTCCAGTCAACACCGATATTATCTATTGCGCATGCTCTCCAAATAAGAACATGATATCACCGTTTGACATGACTTGTGGAATATGTCTAGCCTCATTCTTTGAGCACATTGTTACAAATGGCGCTGAAACGCATTATGGTACACAATTCGTGTACCAATGGTAAAATGTTTATTTTGTCTTAAATATTGGATATCAGAAGCCCATCTTTTCCAGGTAAGATCACAACACCAATGCTGATTTAATTGACAAATTATTCGTGTTGTCAATGTCGAAGATTTTGGATGATATTGAGTTACAGACTTAGCTACTTTAAATAATTACCCGTGAGTTGAGCATAGTAAAGAGAACATGATCAGGTGTCGTCTGGGCTCTCCATCGTAGGATTTCTGTTAAATATTGATGCTGGAAATAAAATGTATCAATCTTTATGTTTAATATACTGACAAGTATTTATCTTACAGTGGTGATACTGTTTCTGATAAATACATGTGAAATGCTGGAAGTCAGTGGAGGGTCTTGTCTCTTCTAGGGTCAGGGTTATCACCAGAATCAAGCATTCATGACCGGAATCAGCGTTCATGACTGGAATCATGGGTTCATGATCAGAATCAAGGGTTCATGACTGAAAACAGGGTTCTTTACTAGAATCAACCGATCATGACTGGAACCTCCTGTGTAGTGAGCAAATAGCATGCTCACAGAGACACCGTACGTGGTTCCCAATAAATCTCACAACCACAGAAATAATTAACCAACTACAAATAAAACTTTACCACAATTAACCAACTACAAATAAAACTTTACCACGATTAACCAACTACAGATTAAAATGAAACAAACCTTTCTAGAAACATCTGATTCTTCTTCTGATAAACCCAGATCTCGACCAGCAGCCCACGCTAATCTGGCACCCTGGACAATATTCCCAACATGTACAGCTGATGGAGTCACATCTAAAAATATAACAATTTATATACATAATGTCCACATTTCTATCTAGTACTCTGGAAACATGGAAACTCTGGGACCTTGATCACCTAGACATGGAGATGGGAGGGACCAGATATCATCTAGACATGGAGAGGGGAGGGACCAGATCTCATCTAGACATGGAGAGGGGAGGGACCAGATATCATCTAGAAATGGAGATGGGAGGGACCAGATATCATCTAGACATGGAGAGGGGAGGGACCAGATATCATCTAGACATGGAGATGGGAGGGACCAGATATCATCTAGACATGGAAAGGGGAGGGACCAGATATCACCTAGACATGGAGAGGGGAGGGACCAGATCTCATCTAGACATGGAAACTCTGGGACCTTGATCACCTAGACATGGAAATGGGAGGGACCAGATATCATCTAGACATGGAGAGGGGAGGGACCAGATCTCATCTAGACAATTGCTTGTGGACGCCTGACATTGGGGTGACGAAAATATACGATCACATTTCGTTGTGGGCGTATAAAAATAGTAAAATGTAATAATTACCTGGATGTAATTCTCGTGGTTTAGGTAAATTTGTAACACATGTATGAGGACACATTAAAACATTAGCTGGATGTAACGAGCCTTCTAAAAACTTCTTCTTTGTCTCATAAAGATGGATACCACCTAATGGAGTCTGAAATAAATGGCAATAGTTCATCAAGGTTGTAAACTACATGAGCTGTGTTACCACATCAAGTCTTGTACATAATATCTATCAGTCTAGATATTGGTATAATTTGATATCAATTAATATAATTTGACAATATTTAATATAATATAAGTTGACAATATTTAATATAATTTGATATAATTTAATATAATTTGATATAATTTAATATAATTTGATAAAATTTAATATAATTTGATAAAATTTAATATAATTTGATATCATTTAATATAATTTGATAATATTTAATATAATTCAATATAAATTGATATTATTTAAAATAATCTGATATTATTTAATAAAATATCATCTAATATTTGATATTATTTAAAATAATCTGATATTATTTAATAAAATATCATCTAATATTTGATATTATTTAAAATAATCTGATATTATTTAATAAAATATCATCTAATATTTGATATTATTTAAAATAAATTGATATTATTTAACATAATTTGATATTATATGACATAATCTAATATAATTCAATAAAATGTGAGGATTATCATTTCGCCAGATTCATAGAGGATGGGGTGGGGGTGGGGAGAAGCTAGCAAAAATTTCCAAACTGGATTATTTCAGGATATACAAATGACATATTTATCTTATCTCAATAATTTGGTTGAGTGAAGGGATTTTTACTAGTAGGAAGAAAACAATGGAAGGAATAAAGTTTTGATGTTCTTACCTTAGGAAGATAGTTAGGAGGAACTAGAGCTAAACAGAAAACACCAACTTGATGTATAGAATCTACAGCTTGTAATACACGACTCATCCATTGAAAACTCTACAATATATAAATTTAAGTGATATTAATTATATTACATCCAATATAACCGATATAGATTATAATATAACTAATATAGATTATAATATATCCAATATAACTGATATAAAATATAACATAGTCAATATAACCAGTATAACAGACAGTGTCATCAAGAAATAAGGTAAACCTGAAAAATTAAGGCCACTTACACAAGAGAGAGAGAGAGAGATGGGGTTAACGTCCACTCGACACCAACTAGGTCATTTTGGGACTAACACTTGGTTGAATTTTATTTCAACAATTCGTTTGCGCATAGGAGTTTTTAGCAGTGGCTGGAAACTGGAGGACCCAGAGAAAACCCACGAGGTTGGACAGGCAACCCTAATCCTTGTCACGTACAACCCGGAAATTGAAACCACGCCAGTTGACTCAATGACAGACCTTATGATACAGCGCGCAAGTGCTAACCATTCTGCCATCCAACCCCCAAGGTAAACCTCAAAGATTAAGACCACACACAAAAGAGAGAGAAATGGGGTTTAACGTCCACTCGACACAAACTAGGTCATGGGACTAACCCATGGTTCAATTTTATTTCAACAAAGGGGTCTTTAGCAATGGGAGGAAATCAGAGGACTTTGAGAAAACCCACAAGGTTGGACAGACAACCCTACTTCTTGCCACGTCCAACCCGGGAATCGAAACCATGCCAGTTGACTCAATGACAGGCTTTATGATACAACGCGCATGTGCTAACCATTCGCCTCCCCTCTCACAAAAGAGTACTTTCATTTCTATACCCCAGGATATTGTCACAGTAAAATTCACAGGAAATTGATAAATATTAAATGTCCTGTAACATACCTCTTCTTCTGTACAGTCTGGTCTTTGTTCAGCAATTATAACTATCCTTTCATCCTTTAATACACTTATAGAAAATACAGCTATCCTACAAAATACACACAAAAAACATCTTTTAATACATTCATAGAAAATACAGCTATCCTACAAAATACACACAAAAAACATCTTTTAATACATTCATAGAAAATACAGCTATCCTACAAAATACACACAAAAAACATATTTTAATACATTCATAGAAAATACAGCTATCCTACAAAATACACACAAAAAACATCTTTTAATACATTCATAGAAAATACAGCTATCCTACAAAATACACACAAAAAACATCTTTTAATACACTGATAGAAAATACAGCTATCCTACAAAATACACACAAAAAACATCTTTTAATACATTCATAGAAAATACAGCTATCCTACAAAATACACACAAAAAACATCCTTTAATACATTCATAGAAAATACAGCTATCCTACAAAATACACACAAAAAACATCCTTTAATACATTCATAGAAAATACAGCTATCCTACAAAATACACACAAAAAACATCCTTTAATACATTCATAGAAAATACAGCTATCCTACAAAATACACACAAAAAACATCTTTTAATACATTCATAGTAAATACAGAGAGTGAAGTGGGTTAGACGTCCACTCGACACAAAGTAGGTTATTTTGGGACTAACATATGGTTTAATTTTATTTCATTAAATTGATTATGCATGTATGCGTAGGGGTCTTTAGCAGTGGATAAAACCGGAGGACCCAGAGAAAACCCACGAGGTTGGACAGGCGACCCTTCTCTTTGTCACATACAAGCAGGGAATCGAAACCACGTCACTTAACTCAATGACAGACCGAATAATGCCAAGCGGACGTGTTAACCATTCTCCCTCTGAGTATGGATAGATTTAAACAAATGGTCTAGAATGCTTACCTTCCTCTATATATAAATTTCATTGGTTCCACAGCCAAAACAGTTGCAATGATGTCATCAGTATTATGACGTCGGGTTCCTATTTGCATTAACCCTTCCTTACTACCACACACAAACACTAAACCTCCCTGAAAATATACAAAATATTACAACTACATACAAACACTAAACCTTCTTGAACAAGCCCACAGTGAGGCTGATGTCCCCCGCCGAAATCCCAAAATAAATAGGTGACACATATTAATTAATCGCACATTTATTTTTTTCAAAAGTATCGAGCAACAAACTATACACTAAGTTTCATCACTCTCTATCAGATAGAATCAAGATTATCTTGTCCCAAAGCATCGACCAATGAAATTGATTAGCTCTGCTTAGCTTCAGCTCGCAATGTTAATTATTGAATTCAGTCAAGACATTCACCTAATGAACATCTACATCAAGTTTGAACATTCTACCTCAATTAAAAGAGTTGTTATTTTCCAAAGTCTTGACCAATCAAATTGCTTATCGCTCCTTCAACTAAGCAGAAAATTCTCACCATTAAACTTAGTCAAGGTAAATGAATGCCTACACCTAGTATGAACATTCTACCTCAATTAGAAGGAGAGTTATTGTGTTCCAAAGTCTCGACCAATTAAATTGCATATTGCTCTGCTTACCCTGAGCAGAAAATGCTCATTATCGAACTTAGTCAATGTATTGATGTAATGAAACTATACACCAAGTTTCATCACTCTCACTTAATTAGGACTAAAGTTATCGTGTCGAAAGGCGGGGGACAAAAAAAAACATCATAAGGACTGAATGCGATAGTTACTTATTTTTAATTGAATTTGAATTCTGACTGCCAAAGGGATCTTTTACACTAAACGAAATGTAAATCTAAATGTATAACTTACCGGACCTAGGAAGCCAATCAAACCAGTTCTTACATAAAGATTATCACCGATTGGTCGACCATCTGCATGGAGAGGTTCCACCTGAAAAAAACAGAATAACAATCACAATATATTGGCAGATCATGTCGACATTAGTGAATTAAGTTTATTAAAAGTTATTCCTGAATTTAAATTATTCAGATGAACCTTACAACCAAGACTACTGCCTACCTGGAATGTAGCACTGGTAATACCCTGTAGTCCCCAATATCCAGACCCAGTGTAACCAGCACATACACATAATTCTCCTACTTCGTCTGTTTTACATAAGATTGGAGCACCGTCTAATTTTATTACCACCATCACAGCTACAAATACAAAATATATATGTCTATTACTTTAGCAACAATCTCATCTTAATCTCATCTAGAGCAAAAATCTCCTATAGAGCAACAATCTTATATAGCACATAGGGTTTAACGTCCACTCAACACCAACTAGGCCATTTGAGGATTAACATATGGTTCAATTTTTTTTTTTTTAGCAATGGGAGGAAACTGGAGAACCCAGAGAAAACCTATGAAATTGGACATGTACAAGCGGGGAATCGAAACCATGCCACTTTGACTCAGTGACAGACCTTATGATGCAACAAGCACACAACCCCTGTCCTGGCTTAGATTCAACCGGATTCTACCCAACACCTGAGGCTGACAGGTGTTGTAACAAGATTATCGAATTTATCTTTGTAAATATTGAACAGAATTGAATCATTTTAAGGCTGATATCTTTCAGAGATTCAACTTTTATAATATGGTAGTTTGCAAGGGATTTAAGATACCCAAATGGGAATAACTGACTTTAATGTAAATTAAATGAAATAGGGTTTAACGGCCTACTGTTCAGCTCTGACTGGGCTAATGAAGACGGGTATCTGTCATACAGTGTGCTACGAGGGAAATTTTGCCCTATCGCCTACTCTTATATCGAATTCCAACTGCCAGGGGATCTTTTACGTGCATGCCAATGGGTACACTGGACCTCCTATCAGAAGACTATACATTATTCTTTGCCAGTCCCTCCGTTCTGCACCACTGACAAGGGGAACTTTCTCAGGCAACGCAGGGACTGAACACGAGACCTTGAGGTTAGCGAGCCAATATCCTACTCACTGCGGCTCCTAACTTTAATGTATGTATAATAATTTATCTTACCTCCCGGCATCACCTGACCACAGTCTTGTAGAGTTAGAGATGTTAGACTGTTCTCACTATCAACTCTAACAACACCATAACTCAAACCCTGCATAGATAATATACCACGGCCAGTTGCACTAGAACTTGTCCTACCAGGTCTAAAACAATAAAAACATTAAAATATATAAATGAATATATTGAATGAATGTGAAATACACCAGATTAAATGATGCCTGGATTACAGTGTTAAACATTCACTAAAATAAGATACAATAATTCCAAGACTGCGACGAATAACCACTTCTTACTCTAGTTGTAGTAGTGAATGTAAGAATCCGTGGAACAGTGCAGGTCAGTGAGAATCTCACTGATACAGTGGGGGGGAAAAGGAGACAGTCCTTTTTAAAAAAATAATCCCAAAATATAATCTCCCAGCAACACAATTGACAAGACTGTTGTATGGAAGTAGAAGATTTTATTCTGGGACGCATTTCGGGCAGCAGCCCTTTTTCAACTGGCTATCCCAGAACATGTTTTGGGCAGCAGCCCTTTTTCAACTAAAACTCGTCCTGGTATAAAAACTTCTACTTTCGTACAACAGTCTTATCAATTGTGTTGCTGGGGGATTATATTTTGAAAGAACAAGATACAAGAAGATTGAACAAACCTTCTAACAGATACAGTTAAAGCTTCAGAAGAACTGGCACACGGACAAATAGACTCAGGTCGTAAACCTTTACTCTGGAAAGCACTTAGGAAGGAATCACATGATGTTAAAGACCCTGAAAAAAAACAAAAAAACATACATCGTTAAAAATAAACGTAAAACTTATTAACATTTTCTGGTTGTGCATCTTGACTCTTGTCAAGCATTAAGTGTGAGGGTGGGATTTATCAGCACTACATAAAAATATAGATAGCAGCTAGTTAACAGAACAGCCTCTATAGCTTCCACAAATGCAACTACTATTTCTAGCTTTCAGCCACTTTCGTCACTGGCAAGAAGATTCTGCCAAATTTAAACACATCTTAAAAGCAAAGTTAACTCCCTGTGATTTATTAATGAAAGAAGAGTTCGATCATCTTGTTTTTAAAGCAGAAATGGGGTTTAACATCCTACTCCAAGTGTCAATATCCAATGAGGGACATTTTGCCCGGTCAGCAACTGAATTCCAACTGTCAAGGGTTCTTTTATGTGTACACCTATTTGTACACATGGCAATTTGTACATTCACCAATTTGTACATACACCAATTTGTACACACGCCAATTTGTACACAGGACTCTTGTTTTCATTAAATGGTAAATTATAATTGTATACTTACAGGGATTAGCACCATCAGCTACTAATAATAATCGTAGTGATGTAAAATTAATATCTTTATGATCTTTCTGGGCTAATAAACCCCAATGCATGTCTCGAGATTTCACCACAGCTACTGACGCTAGAATTACATAAATCATACATTAATTATGATATTTCAAAAATAGATAATGCAAAATGAATATGTTGAAAATTTCATTCAAATTATTTTATTTTGAGCAAATTTATCAATGGTTGTAGTTTTGACAAGATGTTTGCATTGATTGTAACCACCGTACTGTTCATTCGAGTCTTAGCCTCACTTCTCCATATTTAAATTAAATCATTAATCTACTTAAAATCAGAGCCATCCAATGGCATTGATAGTTGATTATGGTCGTGTCATGTTAATAAATCTGTAATTAATAATTTATATAACATTTCAGACCCAAAGATTTAGCTGTTTAAGATTTGACAATGTTTGTATAGCCCTGTCTTGACACAAACTAGGTCATTTCGGGACTAATGTATGGTTTAATTTTATTTCAATAATTTGTTACACGTAGGGGTCTTTAGCAATGGGTTGAAACTGGAGGACCCGGAGAAAACCCACGAGGTTAGACAGGTGACCCTACTCCTTGTCAAGTACAACCGGGGAATCGAAACCACCCCAGTTGACTCAATGACAGACCTTATGATACAACGTGCACATGCTAACCATTCGGCCATCCAAGACCCCCTTTTTGTAAAGATATCTTGGTATAAATATAATTGGGACAGCAAGACAGAGCCTATTTTAATATTCCTCCCTGAAATAGTAAACTTTAATTTACCTTTATATTTTGTAACCATTTTCATCCAGGAAGCTGGATCGACTTTCATTAAGGAATAGGGAATAAATATCACATGCATACCATTAAAAACACTCTGTAATAAACATACATATATACATTTATATCATCATTTTGAGTTGGCATCAAAATACAGGTACTGAAATGAGATGGGACTTAACGTTTTAGTTGTGATTCATTGCTGACCCAAATCTCAACTAATAAAAAAAGAATATTCTTCAATTATTTAAAGGGGCATAAGGTAAGTTTAGATAAAGAGCTGACAGTTCTCACTATAATAAATAGATAATGAAAACACAATATGCTGAAAATTTCTGCCAAGTTACTCCACTCAGAACTGAGATATTAGTGATTCAATTTTAGGCTACCCTAGATCGTCGTTACTAACGTTGGCACGATAATAAACAATGTCTTGATTATCCATTTTTACGTTAAATCATCCATCACAAAATATCGCAAGGCTAACGATGGCATCGAGAGTAAATTGTGGTCTGGATTAGTTAATTAATAATTCAGATAAATTTCAGGCCTAATGAAAGACCTGCAACTGGCAGAATTACCTCTTGTATAATGTATGTTTAAACTATAAATATTTCAAGAAAAGCATTGTTCTCAGGTACTTTACCCATATGGCCCACAATTTATCTAGGAACCCTAACCTCAGCTAATGAAAAGGTAGCATGTTTAAAATATCAATCCCTAAAGATTATCAAGCAAATAGATAAAAATAAAACTTACACAAAGTATACCATGCCAGAGACCAACTTCTCTTTTAAAATCTAAAACACACACCATTACTTCTCCTTCTGTATAATTACAGCCAACGGTTAACGTCCGACAATGTGATAACATGGTATTTCTGGTTACCGTGACACCCACGGTACTGCCATCTTTATTTATAGTATACTGTAATAAATAAAACAATAAACAATACAGTTTACAATACCTGACTGGCAACGGTATGAATCTCACCTGACTGGCAACGGTATGAATCTCACCTGACTGGCAAGGGTATGAAGCTCACCTGACTGGCAAGGGTATGAAGCTCACCTCTATTCAAATATTAGTAATATGTTAACAAACCCTATAAAAGTGTGAGTTATTTGTTAAAAAAAACCTGATATAGTGTGAGTAATCTGTTAACAAATTCCTATATAAGTGTGAGTAATCTGTGAACTCACCTCACACTAGTGTGGGTAATATGTGAACTCACCTCACACAAGTGTGGGTGAAGTGTGTGTTATATGTTTACTCACTTCAATGCAAATATAAGTAAAATTTTGTGATATCTAGGGTGTCCACAAGCTAAAAATATGATTTTTCCCAACAATCAGGGGCCATAATTGTGACCTGTAGAGTGTCCACAAACAAATTGTGGATGGACAGACGTCCAGATATCCAGACAGACAGGGGCGATGACATGAAAATGTTTACTGACCTCTATATAAGCAGGTACATCATCTGATACACGAGATAATGCCTGCCAATCTTTTGGTGCTTTACTTAAATTTTCTGTAACAAACCAATTTAACTTCGGCCAACCTAAAAGAAAATCATTTAAAAATAATTACAATAAACAAATCAAATTGATAGTGGAACTGTTGTATTTCTCGTTACAACAAGAAATAATTTGTTTGTCAGCCCCTCATGATTATTCGTAACAACCAGAAACTGAAAGTGGCAACCATATTTAAAGGTAGCAAACTCAATTTGAATACAGGGAACTCAATTTGAATACAGGGAACCCAATTTGTACATAGCAAACTCAATTTAAATATGGGGAACCCAAATTTTTCATTCCATCCAAATAACAAGACACAATCGAAATTGTTTCATCGACATTTTGGTAATTGAACTGGAATATACAGATCAGGATTCTATGGAATCCAATTACTGCTTATTACTGAACGACGTCTGGACATTGCTTGATAAGGACACAATCTGTGTGTCAACTGCTCAGACATAGCTAAGTTTAAAATAATCTCAAATGTCCTTTTCTGGACAACAACATCAAGATTTGTAAAATTTTTAATTACCTTTAAAAACTAGAACTTCTCCACTGTTGGATTTTGGTAAACCCTTAAAACATGCTTCGGAGGTCAACGCCCAGTTGACGCTTAAACTTCCTAATAAAAACCCTACTCCCTGACCTCCAGCATCCTAAAATAAAAACAAGGTCAAAGGTTACTTTATGCTTATTTAAAACCCATACTGGTCCTTCATAGATTGATTAAACAGCGGGCTTGTTTGTGTTATGGCAGACGTTAAAAGCTTTAGAAATTATAGAAATAAGCAAAATAAAAAAAATAAAAAAACAAAAAATTCACAAAAACGGACAAAAGAATTTTACAATTGAGACATCTTCACACCGTCAAGAGAATAAAGTATTCTACTGTGTAATCACCCTTGACTATTATCACTACAACTTGTATATCATGTAGAGGTCATTATTACTAGTACAAAGTTCCATGTTTTACACTACAACTTGGATATCGTTTAGTTGTACAAAGTTCCATGTATGACACTAGAACACGGATAATGTTTAGTTGTACAAAGTTCCATGTATGACACTAGAACACGGATAATGTTTAGTTGTACAAAGTTCCATGTATGACACTAGAACACAGATAATGTTTAGTTGTACAAAGTTCCATGTATTAAACTACAACATGGATATTGGGTAGTCACGCTGTTTTATCAGGATTTTCTGTATTCAATGTTTAGTTTCAAACCATTGTTGGCTAATTGTTCAAATTCGTGGAGAATCATCAAAAAATATTGGGCTCCTGCTGTTGCATAGTTTAAAATAGTCCGTCTAGATTAGATAATGAGTGTTCTGTTTACAATTGTAAAATACCAGAGTGTATAGTATAGTCCTGTTCAACATCATGATGTGTAGTGTATAGTCCTGTATAACAAGGACTGTCACAGTCTACAAGTAATTCTGTTATTTTTATTAATCTTCTTACTGAGCATTCTAACAATATGGGATTTAACGTCCACTCGACACAAACTAGGTCATTTTGGGACTAACAAATGGTTCAACTTTATTTCAATAAATCGCTTGCGCGTATGGGTCAATAGCAGTGGGAGGAAACCGGAAGACCCAGAGAAAACCCACAAGGTTGGACAGGCGACCTGCTCCTTGTCACATACAAGAGGGAGAATGGAAACCACGCCAGTTGACTCAATGACAGACTTTATGATATAACACACACGCGCTAACCATTGCAGCCATCGGTGAATACATGTAGATGATAATATCACTTGACGGTTGTGAAGATGTTGTAACGGAAGAAAATATCTTGAAATTAAAAATTAGTAATGAACAGAAATTAAAAATCAATGATGAGTTAAAACTAAAAAATTAATGTTAACGGAATAAAATGAAAGTTAATTATATCAAAATAAATATGATGAGTATGATGAATTAATGGAGAAGACAGTGAAAGAATTTATAACCAAGAGTTGTATCCTCTGAAAATTGCAGTCCAATTACTTCATTCTGATCCAAGATATGAGCTTCTGAATATTAACTAAAGTCAGTAAGATAAAAAACAAAGTCTTGATTATCCATTTTTACGTTTAATTATTTTTCAAAAAATGTATTCCAATCCGTTCAATATCGCAGACTAGCGTCGACATCGAGAGTTGATTATGGTCTGGATAAGTTAATTAATGTCTAATTAATAGTTTATATAACATTTCAAGCATAAAGAAAGACCTGCAATAGACAGATTTAGCTCTTGCATAATGTATGTTTAAGATAAGGTTTCTAACTTTTAAAAGTGTGTTCTATCTTCTCCCACTCCCCCTCCCCCCCCCACCTGAGTAATTTAAATGACCACCCCTTGGAGAGACCATGGACTAGGACCATTAATAGTTTAGCAAGACGGATGGACCAGTTGGCCAATGTGTTAAATTCTTTCACTGACAGAAATGGGGGGTACAATAAATGAAATAATATCAAATCAAATAAAACCAATGATAGAAGATGTAAAAACAGAAAACTAGGACAAAACAAACTAAATAAATACAGTTGATGTAAAACGTCCGACACTGATCCCCAACCAAGTGAGTGAAAGTAATGTTGCCAATGTTAATCATACATTTTTGGGACGACATCAAGAATTAACCAGCGTGATGTTGCGTACAGGTTTGTTCTTTGTCACACCTGGGCTCTGTTTCTCGAAATCTTAACTAAAGATAAAATCCAAATTTTAGTAGATACTTCAATTTTGATTGGCTAAGCACTAAAATCAATTTAATATTATCCAATCAAATTACTAAAATTTGGATTTTATCTTAGTTAAAATTTCTTGAAACAGGCCCCAGATTGTGACTTGAACCTGAACGACTACACAATCTTTGTTTGTCATCCTCGTATACATAGCCTTATAAGTGAAAGCAGCATTTGTAACATCCCAATAAGTAACAGACCATAGTTACAAGTCAAGATGATTTTCACAAAAAAGAGAGATTTATCATTGGAAATTTTACACCAACGGATTAAAAAAAATAATAAAAATAAAATAGCAAGATAAATAAGGCAAGTAGCAAAAATAATGCATAATACAGGGATATAAATAAAACATAACAGATGTTAGTATGGGTATCGTTGGTAACCATTTCTATCACCATATATTGATAATTACACCTGTTCCTACATAGATGCTAAATCACTACGTATACTTTTCCTTGCAAAATGGGGGGTTGGATGGCCAAGTGGTGAGCACGTACGCGCTGTATCATAAGTTCCGTCATTGAGTCAACTGGCATGGTTTCGATTCCCCGGGTTGTACGTGACAAGGAAAAGGGTCACCTGTCCAACCTTGTGGGTTTTGTCTAGGTCCCTCGGTTTCCTTCCACTGCTAAAGACCCCTATGCACAAGCGAATTATTGAAATAAAATTGAACAATGAGTTAGTCCCGAAATGACCTATCCTTATTTAAACTATTTATTAGGGCTACAGGTGCCCTAGAATATTTTGAGTCAGCTAAGAATTAACTCTAATTCAATTTACACTAATACACTAGCCGTATTATCTTTTCCTCATTTTATAAATATTCCAATTTTCTTAATTTTATTTTTTTGGGTTATTGACAAAACTATTTTCTCCTGTTTCTAAATGTAATTAATATTTAAATATAGCTTTTTCTCCTAACTTATACAGTAATTCTATTTCTAAATCCAGTTTAATGAATAATAATATAATTCTGTTTCTAAATCAAGTTAATATTTTACAGTGAATAGTTTTTGCTTTGAAATTATACAGCAACTATTTTTCTAAATCTAATTCATATTTTTAATGAATAGTTTTTTTCTCCCAAATCCATTTCTAAATCTGGTTAATAATTTTTAATGAATAATATTTTCTCCTAGTTTAAATCCATTCAATATTTTTTAATGATTTTTTTCTCCTCGTCTAATTCTGGTTAATTTTTTAAATCACACAGGGTTGTTTTTCTGATCACCTTTTTGTTGACTAACACCAAATCTATTGAGGGTAAATTTATATTAGAAAAGATAAAATCAATCTAGAATCTCAAGAATGCGACCTAATTTTATAAATAACATTTTGTATTGACATCTAACAAATTGAAGAATTGATGGCCATTATGTAACATATTTTTTTTGACAATTAATCAATTTTGTCCTCCAAGACCATGCCCATTCTGGGCAATTACCGGTAAAATTCACGATTTTTATTATATTTTTTTGACAAATGTGTGGAACGTTTTCAATAATTACATGTTCTGTCAATATCCACAAATATCAAAAAAAATTCAAAATTTGCACGCAATGTTTCAAAGATCATGTGTTTAAAACAAATGAAATGAAATGGAAAATCCACATGTACTTTCTCAGCCAAGTTATTGGACTCTAACACTCATTTTAAACTGTAGTGAGATGAAAGTAGGTCATTTCGGAACTAACACATTGACCCGAAGAAAACCAATGAGTTTGGACAGGCGACCCTACTCCTTATCACGTACAAGCAGGGAGTCGAAGCCACAGCAATTAACCCAATGACAAAATGAAATTAAAATAAATGAAACAGGGTTTAACGTCCTACTGGACTCAATAACAGACCCTATGATCTAACATGTACGCGTTAAACCATTCCCCCGACCCCGACCACCCACACACCCGTGTGGCAAGATGATTGTAATATATGTAGTACATCACATAATATATTTTATTAGTATATTTCTACTAAAGATATATCATTATAAAAATTTCTTTAGGAAAGATAATAAAGCAAAGCCTACATGCCCCAAATATATGCAATCATAAAACTCTCTAATTCAGTATAAATTCAATAACTATTGAACGTTCTTTAATGATGCACACTATGCATCTAGCTGACTTCAGCAATTTGATTATAATAATCTTATCATATGCTTTCTATTCTACAACAACAAAAACCTGCTCACAAAAAAATCGGAAGGATAAATTATATCTTGGACAGGAAAGTAAAACTGAAATTATAACTCAATTACTCTGATGTAAGAATCTATGACATTGATAATTTAGAGGTGAAGGAGAATGTTTATTGAAGAAAATAGGGAAATGAAATGAAATGGGGTTTAACGTCCTACAGTTCTGCTCCAACTGGGCTAAGGAAGAAGGGCATATGCCGTGTAGTGAACTATGAGGTTGAGCGTCCTACAGTTCTGCTCCAACTGGGCGAAGGAAGAAGGCCTTATGTCACACAGTGTGCGATGAGCAGCACTATGACCTACTCTTATTTTGAGTTCAAAATTTCAAGAGTTCTGTTATGTGCATGCAAATGTGTACACGGAACCTTAGTTTTTGGTCCCATACGAAAGACTAGATACTCTTGTTTGGCTGGCCCTCATCTTAATCCTTGTCACATATAACTGAGTTATAGGTTTAGCTGCTTGTTTACAACATATGCGTTTAAATAACGTGTTGTATTATATTAAAGTTACAATGGGTTTAAATTCTGATTGTGAACAGTTACAGAAACAACAATGTATTCATTCAAATAACGTCTTGTATTATATATTTAAAGTAACAATGGGTGTGGGTAAATTAGGCTTGGAAACAACGGTTTTAGTTGTACCTAACAAAATCAAAATGTCCGACACTAATGCACTAGTATCTGACATGTATTATAAAACACAACATAAGGTATATATAGATATAACTACTTCTCTGTGATTAAATAACCAGGTTTCCTAACACTTGACAACAAGACCTGTACGTTTTACAAAACATCGTTATTAAATAATAGAGAAGTAGTTATATCTATATATACCTTGTGTTGTGTGTTGTTATGAATAGAGAACTAGTTATATCTATATATACCTTGTGTTGTGTTTTGTTATGAATAGTTAACCGTGCATCTAGATGTCATTTAAAGAATTAAAAATATCAATAAAAACACGGAACGACAGACGAATTTGTGCTGGACAAAGTGTCAGGCGCTGTAGGGGTTGTGCCTGATAATGTCTATGACAGGTGCCTGACAATTTCTATGACAGGCGCCGTAGGGATTATGCCTGTTAATGTCTATGACAGGTGTGTTTAATTGTAATTGTGAACAGGTTTTTTAACGAACTACGACAACAAATAAACTATGTTAGTTACATTCTGTACAATACGTTGATATACCCTCTTCGTTAACGGAACTTCTACCGGTACTGGTACCACTCCTGCTGTTATACAGCCATAAAACGCACAGATATATGATATAGGGTCGTTGTTAGGGTAAACTAATGCTACCTGAAACACACAGAGAGATGATAGTCATATTAAATCTTAGTGTTCACATTAAAGAAATAAAATGGAGTTTAATGTCCTACTGTTCTGCTCCGACTGGGCTAATAAAGACTGGCATATGCCATACAGTGTTCAATGAGGGAAAATCAGATTCAACATTCTTGTAAAAATGAATTAATAACTTACTCTATCTCCTTGTTTGACACCAATACCTTCCTTCTGTCCGACTTTATTCAATAAATTATACGCTATTTTATGACTTCTATTCAATAATTTACCTGTAATAGAAAAAAATGTTTAAACATAGGGATCAAGAGGGAGGGAGAGAATGGGGTTTAACATCCACTTTGCACAAACTAACAAGATGAACATGGTTCTATTTTGTTTCTATATTTCACATACGCTCAGGGGTCTTTTGTAAAGGACACAATGAAAACCCAGGAGTTTTGACAGCCGAAGCTACTCCTTGTCACGTACAAGCTTAGGATCACAACCACGCCACTTGATTCAATGACAGACCTTATGATCTAAACTGCACACAACCATCCAATCACCATGGTTGATATTTGGTATTGTATATTCTTGGATGTGTGTTTGTCCCAGAAATAAATATCACAAGATGATATGAGAGTGAGAAATAGGGTTTAACACAAACTAGATCATTTCGGTAGGGGTCTTTAGCAGTGGGAGGGAACCTGAGGGTAGGGTAGGCGACCCTACACATCGTCATGTGCTAGTGTGTGATTGAGAACTACACGACTTTAATTAATGGCAGATCTAATAATCTAAACCACACAGATTGGTCTACTCAACCACCTGACCTTGCTAGAAGAACACAGATAAAAAAAATTAGGGAAAGTGCTGTACAAACGATTTTTAATAATAGTTAAAATTATTAAAAAGATTTCACAACTAGGTAGAAATGTTACATTCCTATTGCACAAAACATTAATTTTTTAAAATTTAATCCGACATTATTACAAAAAGCATACTTATTTATACTTCGAAAAATATCTCAACAGATGTAACTTTAAAAATAAAATTTAAAATGAATTTTTAACATACAGGTATATTTAATAAGTTACAATTTATTGACATGTCATAGTAATGTATCTGTATCCATGTTGTCACATGGTTAAATATCTTGACAAATCCATCTTTATCATATATTACAGGCATATTCATTTAAATATAAACGAAAGTGGTTGACATCTTGTAACTTGACAGGGTTTTTTATTTCCCAACCCAGTTCACCAAAATATATTCAGACAAATAAATATAATGAGATAAAATCGTGTTTTCTGTACCAAACGGATGAATGAAGATGGACATATTTTATGCTGTGTGCTATGAGAGAAATTTTGCCAGGGCAGTGGTGCTATATATTTTAAACTGTCGGTATAAATGGGACTTCCATTTGAACAACTAAATGTTTTTTCTTGCCAGACCCTCCTGCACCATTGAAAAATGAAGTGAAATGAAATGGGGTTTAACATCCTACTGTTCTGCTCCGAACTGGGCTAATGAGGATGGGCATACACGTATACAGTGTGCTATGAGTGAAATTTTGCTCGGGTACCAGCACTCTTATATCGAATTCCAATTGCCAAGGGATCTTTAACGTGCATGCTAATGTATATACAAGACCTTGGTTTTTCGTCTCACCGCCACTGACAAGGGGAAACCACGTCAGAAAATCCAGATGAACTTTCTCGGCCAATGGAGGGATCGAACACACGACTTCCAGGCTAGCGAGCCAGTGTCTTACCCACCATGGCTCCCTTCACCACTGACAAGGACAATTCAGGCTAAAAAAAAACTTCACAGAACTTTCTTCGACAACACCGGGTTCAATACTCACTGAGTTACCATGGCTACCCTCAGAGAAATATATTAAATAAAATAAGAACCACAAAGAAAATAATCCAACATAAAGCCTGGGTGTATGAATATAATGACCTTGACCTTCTTTACACCATGGGACCAATATTAACCAATCAAACTTACCATAATCGATGACTTTCTTTGTAACACGAGGATCTATACTGACATAGTGATATCTATGTAGTCATAGCAACAATTAAATATATCCCAACAAAAGGCGTGTATGATCTGATCGACTCTTCTAACGGTTATTTTATGGATCAAACAATGGAATTGGAATAAAATTTGTCTTAACGCATAAAATTGGGATGAAATTTATAGATTACGTGAAGTCTGATTAAAACCAGATATTTTTCAATTGATAAGACACTTTTTAAAACAAACATTCAAGTGTGAGGAAGAGAGAGTGAGAAATGGGGCTCAATTTTATATCAATAATTCGTTGGAGCGTAGGGGTCTTTAGCAGTGGGAGGAAACCGGAGGACCCGTAGAAAACCCATGAGGTTGGACAGGCAGCCTACTCCTTGTCACGTACAACCCGGAAATAGAAACCATGCCAGTTGACTCAATGACAGACCTTATGATACAGCGCTAACCATTTGGCCATCCAAACCCCACCCCCCTCAATTGTGAGGGAGACGATGTTTAAAGTCCCATATTTTTGCACCAAATAGGCTAATATAGCCTTGGGGGGAGAGACACAGAGAGAAATGTTGGTTTTTTTTTTTTCAATAATTCGCTTGCAGTGGAAGAAACCTAAAGGGCCCGGCACTTGACACTACTCCCTTTGCAAATACAAGCTTGAGATTGTAACTAGGCAACTTTATAGACATTATATATTACCATAAGTTAAATTATTAATATTAATAGAAATATGTCTTACCGTAAAATAAATTATTAATATTAATGGAAATATGTCTTACCATAAGTTAAATTAAGTGAAGGTTTTCCGTTTTGATCAAGTACTGTTATGGCATTGGCTTTATATGTAGATGATCCATATCTCTGTAACGCTGCTTCTAAATTACGCGGTAATCCTGATGGTATCTGCAATAAAATAAACCAATGAAATGAAATGGGGTTTAACATCCTACTATTCTGCTCCTACTGGGCTAATGAAGACGGGCATACGTCATACAGTGTGCTATGAGGGAAATTTTGCCCTGGCAGCGACACTACGGCCTACTCTTATACAGGATTCCAACTGTCAAAGGTTCTTTTACGTGCACGCCAATGGGTACACAGGACATTAGTTTTTATCCCATCCCAACGACTAGACACCAGGCCCTTCGTTCTGCATCACTGACACGTAGAAATCTCCTGGTTAGTGAGGCAGGGCCTTACTCACTGAGTCACTGTGGCTCGCACACACGTAATATAACGGGATAGAGAAAGATATGGGGTCATTTCGGGAATAAAATATATTTTATTTTTTATTTATTAGCAGTGGGAGAAAACCAAATTTCCGCAACCACTGGCAAATTTGGCATACAATTTATTTCTTTATTAGCAGTGGGAGGAAACTGGATAACACTGAGAAAACCCACAGACCTTATCCTGTAACGCACACACATTAACCATTCGGCCACCCAACCCCCCTAATTCCTTATAAAGATCTCTCTAATTACTTTTGTAGTAGTAGTGTAGGGTTTAATGTCTCCTTCCACCTAGGGTGATACTGCAAGAGGAGTCAGTTGCATGCAAGAGGTTCGTCCTACTAACGTAAACATCTGGTTGGGAACCCACACTTCACGTGAGAAAAACTCGTCAGGGAAACGCTACATGGAAAGCAAGCCTTGAAGCAATAGTAACATTAAACAAAAACAAACCACAAGTTGTTCTCCTGCTACTGGTGTTAATTCACTACCTTCTGGTTTCGGTGCATTTGGATCGGTGGAAGGCACTGAAACACCAAATATAATTACCATGCAACTATGTATTAACTTATGTTAAATTAATTCACCATGTAAAACATATTAATTAATGTAAAATATATTCAAAATATTAAACATATATTTAACTTACTAGTATTCAAAATGTTAAATATATTTAAAATATTTTTCCCAAATTTAAAATATACAAAACATATTCAATATATTTGCAATATAAAATATATTGAAATGGTCAAGTTACAAAATAGTTGCTAAGTAAAATATATTCAAATATCATTTCAATACAAAATATATTGAATTTATTCGAATATGAAATACATTCACAATATCAAATATCAGTATATTTGCAATACAATATAAATTATACACAAATTATCCATGAGGTAAAATAAGTTACAATTTATTGTATCATGTATAGTAACTTACTTTCTAGCGTGGCATCTTCTTCATCTACAAAATATTCTTTTAATGGCCGTCTTTTCGGTCTCTGTAAAAAAAACAAGTTCAACTTATTATTAGTAATCACTAGTGATTTAAAATATAATCTAGACATTAATTCATATTAAAAGCTTAAAATCAACTCTCCAGACCATTGGATGGTCGATACTTAAATGGATTGGAACACCCGCAAGATTTAAACATTTAACAATAAAATAGATTATCCCTCAGAATAAAGTAATTTGAATGGAATTTTTGATATGTTCATTATTCATTGTCTGTTTCTTAAACTATTATAACAAGAACGACCAGCTCTTTATCTAAATCTTACATTAGGTGACAAACCTTTTCTTATTAATACATATATAATTTTAGATTTTGTGCTGGCACTTTGGATCATAAGGGCTGTCATTAATGGGGAGCCACGGTGGATCTGTAAGTATGGCGTTGGTTTATTAAACACGAAGTCCTGAGTTCGATCCCAACGTTGGCCGAGAAAGTTTATCGCGACTTTACAGTGTGATTCCTTACATGAATAACCTCTATACATGGCTGCCAATTATTAAAGATATACCATGTCAGTTCCATTACAACAATGACAGGTTTTAAATAACTTGAAATCATGTGTTCGAGGAGACAACTCTACATTATTCTCAATTTTCAATGATGGCAAACAAGACTATTTATAGACAGAATGACAAGTAACCAGTTGGTAACCTATCTAGTCTGTAGACAGAATGACTGAAACCAGCAACTAGTTGTAGGCGTATCTACTAATATCTAGTCTGTTCAAATTAGAATTTGAATCAGCAATTTCCCTGAATCAATCCTCATTCTCAGTTTCTGGACCTACCTTTAATGTGTTTAGAAGTTGTTGTATTTTAGCAGAAACTTTACCATGTCTTGGAGCTGAAAAATAAAAAAAATAGATTTGGTTAATTCATATCATTTTGACAATTATGAGTAACTTAGCCAAAGCGGTGGGGTCATGCTTGCTTTGTGTCCACGAATCTAAAGTGAGGTTCAACAAGTCATGCTTTCGAATGATGTATTTCTTGGGATTTTCCAGTCTGTCATCTCCCACCCCCCCACCCACCCCTGTGTCAGAGGGTCTGGTAAGACAAAACCTTCTAGTCATTCAGATTGGATTAAAAATTGAGGTCTCGTGTATACCATTGGCAGAATATTAAAGATCGCCCGACAGTTGGAATAAGAGTACGTTAAAGGTTCCCTCTTCAATAGCCTGCTTGGTGCAGAGGACAATCTAGTCTATTTCATTTTATTTCAAACTAGGGGTTACTCTGAAACTGGAAGTAGTAGGCCATTGTCACCAGGCCTAGGTTATTCCCCTGTCCGAGGTACCCCTATACACCAAATTTCAGCCTCAGGACAGTCCCAGTGTAACCACCGACCCTGAACAGACAAACAGACAAAACGACAGTCATAAATACTAGCATTGATGGCGCAATATAATGGTGAGGCACTTTCTTATTATGATAAAACACTCTCTATGCAGGCAAGGTGGTCAAAACCTAGCATAATTTAGGTCCTACTTTACTTCAGGAGCATTTGTTATCACCGAAGAAGATTGGCCAACAAACAAAAAACTTTCAAATGTCGAGGAATATCATCCAATAGAATCAAACAAAGGAAACATATTTACCATCATCATCAGCCAATCCTGTCACAGCTCCTGTTGCTGTCATTCTAACAGATGATTGGTTAAACCTACCAACACGATCCGTCTGACGGGAACTTTTAGCGTTATTTGTGACATCAGGTGGTTGAGATATATGATGTGCTACAAACAATTTAAAAAAATCATAAATATATTTAACTCTTTAGTACTTGGGGGGGTAGAAACAGGGTTTACGTTCAGCCGACAGAAACTAGGTCATTTTGGGACTAACATATGGTACAATTTGCACATTGGAGTCTTTAGCAGGGGAAAGAACCTGGAGAAACCCCACAAGTTTGGACAGGTGACCCTACTCCTTGTCACGTATAAGTCTGGGATCGAAACCACAACCACAACCAGACCTTACAATCTAAAGTGTTTGCATTAAATCATTCGACAACTGAAGCCCCTTTTTAGTACTTGGTATGTCAATACTGACTACAAATACGACAGTTTCCTGAAAAAATTAGATTTCTTTTTTTTTGTGTCAAGTTTTGTAACACATTTCCATAACCAACTAAAACTACCGTTGCATACACTGCAGATGGAGTTTAACATCCACATGACACAAAAAACGACATTACGGGACGATCATATTGTTCAATTTTATTACAATAATTCAGTTAAGCATAGGGGTGTTTAGTAGTGGGAGGAGACCGGAGCACCCGGAGAAAACCCACGAGGTTGGACAGGCGATCCTACTCATTGTCACATACAACCGGGGAATCGAAACCATGCCAGTTGACTCAATGACAGACCTTATGATTTCAAGTGCAAACGTTAAACCACAAGATCACCCAACCCCCATAATGCTATGGAATACAATTACTGCTTATTACTGAGTGACGTTTCAATACAATTACTGCTTATTACTGAGTGACGTTTCAATACAATTACTGCTTATTACTGAGTGACGTTTCAACTAGGCTTCTCTAGTCATTATCAAACAGTAATAAGCAGTAATTGTATTCCATAGAATTTGAACCTGTGTTTGGGTAAATTGGGACCTGTGTTTGGGTATTGGGACCTGTGTTTGGGTATTGGGACCTGTGTTTGGGTGATCTTGTGGTTTAACGTTTGGGTATTGGGACCTGTGTATCAGTTCAATTACTAATCATCATTGAAACAATCAACTTATTACAGTAGTTGTGACTTTGCTAAAACTTCTTGGAATTAATAATTTTTATGTTTCCATGAAAACAAATTTGTTTTAGTATTGCCATTTTCTATATTTACTAAATATAACACTCAAACTTACAATGTCTAGAATTTTGCATAACGTCTGCTAAAGCATGTCGAGCTGTGTTACCAGGGATACGGAAATCTCCATAACCTTGACTACGAGGTCGTTCACCATAGTGATGAGGTGAGGCACCTGTTTCATAAGATGATGAACTGGCACCACTATCTCTAGCTCCACCACGAGAGAATCCACGCAACTGTTCTTCATCAAAAACACTGTCATCATCAGAAGAAGAATCTAATAAAATACAAAGATCATTCAATTTTTAATATTTTAAGTAATCCTGTAATATCTTAGCGAATTATCTCCCCTTTTTATCATATTTCATCAAGTCCCTGTGTCCTTCGAATATCTATATGATTTAGTCAATGGAAATTGTGCAAATTTAATTCTTTAATAAGTCTTAATATGGTAATTTATATAATTGCCTCACTAGGCTTGATTTATTAATTAATCTCAAATTGAAATACTGGATTATTGTACACAATTTGTAAAATGTTTAAATATGAATTATTGTTTTTAATTTGTTGAATGTGTAACTATATGGATTATCGTTCTCAACTTGTGTATTATGGTTTGTTGATCTCAAATTGTAGAATGTTTTATATGAATATGAATTGTTGTGTTGTTGTTCTCAACTGGTAGAATGTTTTATATGGATTATTGTTAGAACTTTGCGTAATGTTTAAAGGGGGCAAATATCATCCAGTTTTCGATATTGCAAACACGACTTATTGGTCAATTTCAGTCAACATTAATGTTGTTATCTTACCGGGAAAAGATAGGCTTTTGATAACCAATATTTAAGACAAAATGACCATTTTAAAATTGGAACATGAATCGAGTGCCAGAATGCATCCGAGCGCCATTTGTAATGAAGCTACTTGTTGAACGTGGCTAAACATACCCGACAGGAGAATACTACAAGAGTAGACTGGAATAACCAGACACCAAAGACTGTCATTTAATTGGGACTCTTTGTGTATTTCACCGAACATAAATGATCAGAAATTAAGAGTAAAAACAGAAACGATTGAATGTAAATCAGTTCATATTACATTATTATATGCGTTGCAACCCATTTGTGTCTATTTCTAAGTGTCAAAAAATAGCAATTTAGCTCCTTTCATATGGATTTGTTGTATGTGTTGTTATAAGTTTGTTAGATGTTTAAAATTAATTGTTGTTCTCTATTTGTTGGATATTTTAAATGGATTATTGTACCCAACTTGTTTGATGTTTAATATAAATTGTTGTTCCCAACTTGCTGGATGTTTAATATGGATTATTGTTCCCAACTTGGATGGATTATTGTTCCCAACTTGTGTGATGCTTAAAATGGATTAATGATCCCAACTTGTTTAATGTTTAATAAGAATTGTTGTTCTCAATTGGTAGAATGGATTATATGAATTATTGTTCACAACGTGTATGATGTTTAATATGAATTGTTGTTCTCATTTGTAGAATGTTATATGTTTAATATGGATTATAGTTCTCAATTATTCTTTGTAACATATTCATTTCCATCCCCTGGGTTTTTAGTTGCCATAATATATACCCTGGCTGCTGCAGTAATATATGAAACAGGGTAGATTAATTTAGAGGTGAACACTAAGCTAATCTTTTTTTTCTGAGTGCATGTGCAGGGGTCTTTCCTGATGGAGGAAACCGGAGTACCAAAGTAAAACCACAAAGTTGAGATTGGGCTTAATGTCCACTATACACAAACTAGGTCATTTCAATAATTTGCTTGCGCGTATGGGTCTTTAACAGCAAGGGGTAACCGGGGTGGTGAATGATTTATAACCATGGTACACCATTGTGTATCTCGTGCTGTAGTTCTTTTTCTCAGACATTTACTCAAGATCATAATTACTTTATTAAATCTATTTATTTGAAATTCAAATCCAGTAATCTCATTAAACTACAGATCCAATTTGTTTTTTTCATCGGCCTCCATTATATAAAGATTTGAACAGTTTTATTGGGAGGTTGCACCAGGTGTCATAAAAGCAGCTTTTGAGCCTATGACGTCATTCATTCGATGAACCACGTGTCTATTTGTAAATACAAATTTTGGTATGGTTTGTCTTTCCACAATTCCGCGATCCAAACAATAAGAACTTGACTCAACAGACATTTTGATTGATTAAACCTTCACATCAATAGTAAGCTGATTATTTAACAACTCTTTCAGATTATAAGTTTTTATTTCAAGATAACAAGTGATTTAATCAATAAAACAATAACAATATCATATACATAGAACACAATATCTCATATCAATCAAAAACACAGAAATTAATATCTGATATCAATCAAAAACACAGATTCAATATCACTTTAGAACACAATATCTGATATCAAATACACAGAAATCAAAATCCGATATTCGATACCACATACATATAAATGAATATCTGATATCAAATATGTAGAACACGATACCTGATTTGAAAGACACAGAACACATATATTTGATATCAAAGACACAGAACACAATATTAGATATCAAATACGCATAACAAAATAATGAACATAAACATGTAAATAATTTTATATAATGAGAAAACGATGGATCCACATGATTATTTGTCCAGAATAAGTTAAAGCACAGTGTCTGTGTATAAATTATAATATATAGGAAGGTTGTTCTTTCCTGTAACACGGAACACCTGTCAGACATACAGGTGACAATTATAATATATAGGAAGGTTGTTCTTTCCTGTAACACGGAACACCTGTAAAACATACAGGTGACAATTATAATATATAGGAAGGTTGTTCTTTCCTGTAACACGGAACACCTGTCAGACATACAGGTGACAATTATAATATATAGGAAGGTTGTTCTTTCCTGTAACACGGAACACCTGTCAGACATACAGGTGACAATTATAATATATAGGAAGGTTGTTCTTTCCTGTAACACGGAACACCTGTCAGACATACAGGTGACAATTATAATATATAGGAAGGTTGTTCTTTCCTGTAACACGGAACACCTGTCAGACATACAGGTGACAATTATAATATATAGGAAGGTTGTTCTTTCCTGTAACAGAGAACACCTGTCAGACATACAGGTGACAATTATATGGAATACATTTACTATCTATAACTGGGCGTTGTTTTTCGACTAGGCTTGTTGTACTGTGTATTATTATTGCGCGATGTTTCGACCAGGCTTCTCTAGTCATTATCAAGTAATGATAAAATATAACAAGACTATATATACATGTACACAATAATACTTGATTAATTCTGACCTGTAAGAGACACCCTTCTAATTACCTTGAAGGAAACCTAAGTTATAAGTAGGCCTTTTATTACTATAACGGCTCCTCTACATCGCATTAAGAGAGGTAAGCTTGTTACATACATATTTACTCTCTGCTTTTTTGATCGATGATTTCAATTCCTACAAGTCATTGTAACAAACAACCTATCAGACATGAAACAACCTATCAGACAGTTTCAAAACTCTATTCCGTAGATCATATTGCAACCGTTCAATCCATACAGCACTGTGAATTGAGTCCCTTGACAATTATGTTCGCAGAATGTAAATATGTATTTCTTTGTCGTACATTGGTCATTCTTAATATTATACACTGTTTCATACATACACCCGTTACTGTTTTTATTGGAATGGCTACATACACGAATTATCAGGAATGTCAAATAGAAATGAAATGGGGTTTAACGTCCTACTTTTCTACACCGACTGGGCTAATAAAGACAGGCATACGCCATACAGAGTGCTATGGGGGGAAATTTTGCTCTCATTCCAACTGTCAAAGTTCTTTAACATGCAATGTGTACACAGGACAAATATTTTTCATATGTCCGTTTGTGCCTGTATATTTTTTGGATGCAATATTGCATGAAAATTTCACAATTTCACATTTACCATAGACGTGAACACATGATACTCATCATGACCAAAGGACAATTAATTATGCAATATTCGTTCATAATATAAAAGACAAATTTGTAAGCGATGGTTCAAAGGGTTCCAGGTTGGCGGAGAGGGGTAATTGTCTCTGTGGTGCGAAGATGTACGTGATATCACACTTCCTTAGCATTTTCACTTAAGCATGAATGATGGTTCAAAGCAGATGAACGATAGTTCAAAGCAGATGAAGGATGGTTCAAAGTTCAAAACCATTCCAGACTGGTGTTGTAATTCTCCTTGGGGTTATGTATGTATCGTTAGAACGTCTTTATCCTTAATCAGTACCGGTGCGTTCTAATCTCATATCACAATTCTTTCCCAGACGGCCATGTCGGCTCAAAGCATATATTAACTGGAGCACACGAAGAAACTTGTCGATAATTCACGAATTATGAATTAGAGTAATATATCAACTCAATCGGAATCAATGACCCTTGATCCATCTTGTAGAAGGCGACGTTTTTTTAATTCCACATACTCTCGTTTTGATTCGATGAGCGCCATCGTAGCATAATGTTCTTCTTCTGCTATCTCGAGTTTGCGTTTCAATAATTGAACTTTTAACCTCTGTTCCTCCTCCATAAGTTGCTGGCTTTGGAAATTCCACGACAAGCTCTGTCGGATGAGAGGATTTTTAGGAAGATGTTGCATGGCTGTCGGAGATATCATGTGATGTGTTTTAGCAAATTTGATTGGTTGAGGGTTGAGTGAGGTCGGAGGTGAAAGGGAAGCAGACGATTGGTTATTCATATCCTCTGGTGACAATGAATCTGAAATGGAAAATGGAGAAACATAAAATAATTTCTTGTGGCCCCAGGAATAACCTCAACAATTGCAAAATAAAAAGAGTTAAGATATTGGGTAGATCAAAGCATATCGCAGACAAAAAATGAAATGGGATTTAACGTCCTACTGTTCAGCTCCTGACCGGGCTAATGAAGATGGACATACGCCATACAGTGTGCTATGAGGAGAATTTTGCCCTGACAGCGGCGCTATGGCCTACTCTTATATCAAATTCAAACTGCTAAGGGATCTTTTATGTGCACATAGGACCTCGGTTTTTCGTCCCATATATCGTAGACAAACCCCAATAATACCTCTGTGGGTGGGAAGGCAGCAGAAGAGGAATTACTGGAGAGAACGAAACATCAAAACAATATTCAAGTCATTTTGAAACATTTTTATCTTTCGGGTTATGTGTGCTTTATGCAGCATTTATGCATAATCGTCTTCGATGGAGGATGAAACAAGGGTTTTTTTACGTGCACATCGA